GAAAGGGCCCAGCCTGGCGCTTCTCCAGGAGATGAGCTATCATCGCAATCACCTGAATGGTTTTACCAAGACCCATCTCGTCAGCTAGGATTCCATTCATTCCGTTTTCGTAGAGGGCTTTCAGCCATTGGAGACCCTCTTTCTGGTAGTCTCGTAAATCTCCATTGAAATACTTCAGGGGGGCGAAGGTTTTCTTCTCCTTATTCTCATCTAGCTTATCCTCTATCCCTGCCTCAGGCTTTTTAACATCAACGTCAGGGCTGAGTTTTGCCTTCTTTGCACTGGGCTCCTCCGTGTCATCTGCGTGCTCCTTCGAACTGCCTTCATTCTTCGACTCCTCTAGCTCGTTCTGTTGTGCGGCAAACTTCTTGGCAAATAACGCAGAGTACACTTGGCTCTTTGACACCAAGCGCAACAAGCGTTTGTAAGTATCCTGACGCTTTTTCTCGTTTTGCTGCTCCCGCTGGGCTCGTACAGCTGCTGCACGATCTTCGAAACTCCTCTGTGCCTCAATAAGAGCACCTTCTTCATGATCTGCAGCTTTGTCTGAATGAAATATCGAGAGGATGATTCAGTAGTGAAGTGGTGGACTAGGGTAAATATATTTTTTTCGAGACCAGTTTATTGCGAATATCTGGGATTGACGGAGAATGACTAATTTTTTGCATAAACATTTTTTATCGAAAAAGATGAGAGCTACAATATCTTTATATTTTTTGAATTTCGAGAAATCCGAATGAAACTGACCTCGAGAGAAACAGACTTGTTCTAGTTTACCATTTCCCAATGGAATTGAAGGTAAGGATTGTTTCCTAAGGCAGTTAGAAAGTCTCGAGGAGTTATTGCTGATATCTTCTCATTTTTCATGTTTTTTTTTGTCAATTTCTGAAACCCTTGGATCATTTAGACGTGGAAAAATATACGGTTTCTCCGTTTTATTATTATCCAACAATTCACAAACTTTCAGCTGAGGGTCTAGGTATTTTTCTAAATTTTTGGTAAAGTTCAGTGAATTTTTGCAATAGTTTACTGAAAAAGTACGAAATTTCTTACGCGATTAGAAAACTAGATATTGAATGATAATGAAACTTGAAAAGATATATTTTTTCACGTCAACTTTATCGACCGTTTCTGAGGAATTCGTTAAGATGAGAAGATATGGGCAATTATTACGGTAATGGTGATTGATCTTGAATATGAAAAAAAAAAATGAAAAACTGAAAAATTAAGTATTTGGGACGCAAAAGCGTATTTTCAGAAAATATGATATATTTGTTTATTAAATAATTTAACTTCATGATTAAATAGGTTTTTCATGGACGTTTGTAATTATTATTGAAATAATCCATAGACAATCGAGTCCTAACGTATACGTATATTTATTCAGGGTCATGAGGTTCCACGGGGAATTCTATATGAAAAGGTTTATATTCTCTCATGGGAGAAATTATTGAGGGAAATTCGATATGATCATGTAAATATAAGGTCTCTACTTGCTACGGTTTGCTGTCCTTGAATTGATTTGTTTTTCGGTTGGTTTACTAAACTAGAAGTCAAGAATCACCGGATTGACAGAGGAAATCAGTGAAATTTTAACTTCTAATGGTCAGAAAAATTGTCAAAATGTATCGTATGTACTCCATCTCTGAAATATCTTAATGTATAATGGAAAAAAATATACCTCACCATTTTGCAAATTTTCTGAACCGGCGATGCTCGCAAATCCTGAGTCCTCGGACTCCACTCCCTCCGGAAGATGTTTTACTTCCAAAGACGGCTGGTGTCCCTCTCCAGTGAGAAACTCCATTGTTCTCAAATGTCAATTTATTTAAGATTAAGATTTATTAAAATTTCTAAAACGTAGTAAATGAAAAATGTCAACGCAATTTAAAATGGATTAAAAGTATACACTTGGGCATTATGTTTACAGCTTGACGGTAATCCACCAAATGTTTGGAAATGAAGGAAATCGGAGTAAAACCAATATTGGGAAAAGTATCAGCAGAAGGGAGAGAGCTATAAACACGAATAGCAAATAGAAAACCACAATTAATTCAAATTCCATGACGATTCAACGTCTGTGGAATGATTTGAAAACTGTTGACAGAAGAAAGAACAGCCAATGATAAATCAGAAACACTTGGACATTCCTGCCAGAATGCAATATAGTAAAAATAGAAGAAAATTAATTATCTTCCTTTCAAATGAAAAACGCAACCAATCAAGATAAATTTGTCTTTTATTAATTACTCTCACATTTAAACAACTACACATATACGGTACTTCGAAAGTTTCTCTTTTGTACAAACACTGAACCATAAAATAAATGTAACAAAAATTTATTAATTATAAGGTGTTTTTTATGAAAAAGTATCTATTATAATGTCTCTTTGACATTACTTTTAATACAAGAAACTCTTGACTTTCTTATCCTCCTTATTCGACTGGTATTTCTAACTCAAGAAAATACCATCGAACCTGTACATCCTCTAGCTACTCACGTTTAAAACGTAAAATTCTCAATAGACCACTCTCAGAACTTAAAAATTTTATCTAAAATGAAATCAAAATGAAATGAATATCCTAGAGATAAGTTTTAAATCGCAATAAATTCTCTAGTGTTCTACAGTTAGACCTTCACTTCAAGATCGCTCCTATCAAGAAGTTTTTCCAGCTCCTCCTCAGAGAGGAACTCCTTCCCAGAGTTTGCCACTTGCTGTTCACTCGAATCCAACAATATCTTGAGCTTTATAAGCCCTTCTCTATTAAACAACTTCATCTCCTCAATCTCTTTCGAAATTACGAGTTTTTCAAGTTTCCTCTTGGCCTCAGCACGACTGATGATAGCTTCATCGAAAGTCCCTTTGGTGCAGAGTCTGTACACGACGACAGGTCTGTTCTGGCCAATTCTATGGCACCTGGCCATCGCCTGAACGTCGACTTGAGGGTTCCAATCGCTGTCAAAGATGATTACAGTGTCAGCAGATGCCAGATTCAGGCCAACGCCCCCTGCTCTCGTAGTGATGATAAATAGAAAGTATTGAGGATCATTGTTAAATAGACTGATGGAGTGTTTTCTCGTCTCGATGTCGACTTCTCCATCGAGTCTCAGGTATTTCCACGGTCTCATACTCAAATAATCCTCGACGACATCCAGAATCATCTTCATGGTGGAGAAGAGAAGGACCTTGTGGCCTGCCTCATTGAGTTTCTTCAGCATTCTGTCCAACACGACGAACTTCCCAGAAGCCGTGATCAGCTCTTCATCAACCTTGGGTAACCCAGCGTCATTCAGGGGCAGATGAATCAAATAGGGATGATTAATAATCTTTCGATACATAACCTGACGACTTCCAAAGGACAATCTAAACAGATAATAGCAGTTATCCTCAGTCACGTCTACATGTTCTGTCCAGTTCTCCATCGCCTTCTCCACAATAGCGGTTTTCGGAGGTGCAACCTCGTTTTGCGTCACTCCATGCCCTGAATCAAACTTTGAAGGATCTTGGCTCTGAAAATAAGCTTCTAACGATGAAGACGAGTAATCTGGATCAGGCGTCGGTGAACGACTATCGTCGTCCGAAGACGTACCGGTTCTGTAACGGTTCTCCAACGACCTAGACCCCGGGTATCTGATCTTGATAGTACATCTCCTTTTGGGTCTGTTTCCAAACTCGTCGTCTACAATAAGAGGCTCAGGCTTCGTCTTGTACATAGCGTAGATATCTCGATTGAGATACGCTGTGTATAGCTGTTTCTGAAGTGCTGACATAGGGGCATAAACCATCACCTCTTTCTTCCCCGGAATGTCCAGGCAAACATCTGACTTCAATCGCCTCAGCATAAAGGGCTTGAGAATCTCTCGAAGTGACTGCAGGACCTTTCTCTCCTCCTCCTGCTGAATAATTCTGTTGGTGCCTTCTTCGTGCTGGAAATCCTTCACATCGAACCATGACTCGAACACAGCGAGGTCACTGAATATCTGGGGCATGAGAAAGTGCAAAAGGGACCAAAGCTCCTTGAGATTATTCTGAAGAGGTGTCCCCGTGAGGAGAAGACGGTTCGATGACTCACAGGTTTTCAACGCCTGCAACAGCTGACACTCTGCATTCTTGATGCGTTGAGCTTCGTCCATAATTATGTACCTCCACTTGAGCCCTCTGATCGCTTTCCTATCCCTGATGATAATCTCATACGTCGTAAGGACCACTGGGAGTGTCCTGAAGCCATCGACTGACGCTGTTTTTTTGATTGTGCGAGCTTGCTGGACTCTCTCCTGTGAAGTTCCATACAGGAGCACCACTGGAATCTTCGGGGCGAACCTCTCGAACTCCATCAGCCAATTGGGGATGGTCGATAGAGGCGCTATGATCAGAAAGGGCCCAGCCTGGCGCTTCTCCAGGAGATGAGCTATCATCGCAATCACCTGAATGGTTTTACCAAGACCCATCTCGTCAGCTAGGATTCCACTCATTCCATTTTCGTAGAGGGCCTTCAGCCACTGCAGTCCCTCCTGTTGGTAATCTCGCAGTTCACCTGTGAAGTATTTTGGATGGGTAATCACGTCCTGTGGAGGCTCGTCATCATCAATTACTGCCAGTTCTGCTTGAATCTCCTTGTCGCTCAATTTCATTCCATGTCGAGTTATTCGATTCTGAAGACGAAGGGGAAGAGACACTTTGAGATCGTCTTCAGGAGTCGGGTAACGTCTTTTGGAGCGTTTTGCTGCAGGCAAGGGAATGTCAGCGTCTGACAACTTGCGTTTAGAGGACTTTGGGGGCTTGGGGGCGCTCAGCTTCTTCAGGAGGAAGTCCGAGTAGAACTTGGACTGTTTCAGAAGGTGCATCAGTCGTTTGTACGCCTGCTCCCGTTTCTCTTTTTCGTATTGCAGATCTGCTTCGCGTTTTGCCGCCAGATTTTCCTGGTGCTGACGTTCACGGTCCGCTCGAGTCTGGACGACTGGAGCCTCTGCCAGTTTAGATTGCTCGTCTGGAATAAAAAAGGTTAAACGTGAAGTGACTGAGTGACATACAACATATTTTATATTTTAGTTGGTTATTGAATTATCTCGAAAACTAGGCGGTGGAAATTTCCAGCAAAAAATTTCTTCTGATACTTTTTCCTAAGATCAGTAGTTTTTGGAATAAACCGATGACTAAAATAACTGAAATTCAAATAAAATTGAATTTTCACTTTTATTAATTATCCCTTTATTTCGGAAACTATTCACATAAAGAAAAAGCTGCAAAAAATTCTTTTGCAGCTGAGGGAACTCGACATAAAACATCTATTTTGATAATTTCTCTCTAACTAATGATTTCTGGGACAAATCAACATTTAACAAAACTGAATATCAACTCAAATAATCGAGTATTTCATCATGTCAATACTTTTTTTGTCCAGCCCCAGAACTGTTGCCATGGACATGAGCAATTTAACAGCTTCAGTGATCGATGCAATCATATTCCTGCGAATTACTTGACGATTTTCTACAATTCACTGAGAATTTTTTCCCGGAATGTCATTGCCTTGTTTTACTCTTTTGTTTCACGAATTATAAAATCACTCACCATTTTCAGGGATGAAACCAGCAATGCTAGCAAATCCTGAGTCCTCGCACTGTCCAATTCCCTCAGGAGAACTAGATTTACAATAATTTTTGTCAATTTCCTCGGTGGAAGAGGCAATTCCGTTGAATTCTCCCTCCATTTCGGAAAATTCAGCTTCTTTCGGTAGAATTTGATGGATCGAGATGAATTTGAGTTGATTTGACTGTCAGGCACCGACTTGCTTCCACTGATTCTCAAAGACAAATGAATACCGTGCGGAAGAGAGAAATCCGCTCAAAGAACAAAACCGTTGGGCTTTTCGCGCCCAATTCCCAAATGCTTTGTTCCCTCCCCCTCTGTATTTTCACCGTTATCCCACACATATTTAGCATTGATGTAAACATCCGCTGTGATTGGTTGAGGGAGAAGAGGTTTTAAAACAGCGTCTCGATCTAGATGTTTTCTCAAGGTTTAAAAAACACCAGGATAGGCATGATAACTTACCGACTGACTTGCCCATATATATTGAGGCCCCCAACGTGATGGGACCGTAGTCTTCTCCAAAACGAAAAGAATATATATGTATTGAAAAGTTATAACTTCCGTGGGAATGAAGACACGACGATAAATTAAAGAACATTTCAAAACTGTAATTCTAAGCTCCAAAAGATTAGCATTTGTATTATTTAATCGAATGAATGGACGGCTTAGAGAACCGAAAGTATCAGACAGAGACAACGAATTTTTAAAATAAAAAGATTCTTCTAAAAAGGTTCTGCAGTGAAACAGTATTTTTCAACGAAAATAAATGTCTGTCAGGAAGAGAGCAATAAATATTGGTTCATGTTTATTTCAACGATTTTTATATTTATTTTTATTCAATAGTGGTTTTTCTTTATTATCACAAATAAAGGTGAGGTCCATCATCTTTCATTCGCGAATAGCAACTGAAAATAAAGCAATTGTCTCTCCAAATTAATGTAAAATGAGAAAATACTCGCTTGGACCTGAACTGAAGTTCATAACGAATGTCACTAGTATCTTTTTGAAATTACATCCTTAATTGTTATAATTTTTCTTGCTTTTTCTGGGAAGAGCTTGTACATTTATCTCCTAAAATTGTTCTGATGCATAATCTCTGATTTATTCATTTATTTCGTATCTAATTCGTTATATAGGTTTCGAATTCGTATTGTTTTAGTACTACGATTATAAATAGCAGATGTTTTCTCTGCTGTTTTGCAATTTTAATAATGGAATGTCTCGTATGGATTCACTTTTTGCTTTTCCTCCTCGTACTTATTCCGTAGATTTAATATTATTTATATACAATACTCCTTCGTTCAATTGCAAAATTCACCGTAGAGCAATAAATTTTCAGGGTTTTTATACGGTTTTTCATTTTTAAACGTCAACTTTTGAAACTTAGGCCTTTCCAATCGTTGTACAACTCTTCGATGAGCGCAACTTTCATTAATATAACTTTTAATTACCTCATTTCTTCCTCATTGTTTTGGATAAATCGTGATTGTAGTAAAGAGATTATAAATAATATCGTGTCGAGGAGTGGAATGAAATAATTGGTCGAACCAATATATTATTTACATAGGATAATTTTCAAGTACTTTTTGCAAAAATTTTCATTTGTCTGACAGTACTTATTGTATTGATTTATTCTGCGTGTGATTAATTGATCAATTACTCAGTTAACATTCTTTACAATACAGTCACTCGATAACATTATTATTTCATCGTCAGAATTCATTTTTTTATTGTTATTAAGTGATTCGATATCTGCAGAGAAGGGATGACATTATTGCAAAAATACTCACAAAACTGACAAATCTAGAAGAAATCATCAGAGGGAATTGTTCAAGAAAAATTCTAATATTTTCTTCTAAATCCATTAATTCTCGAGATATTGAAAAAAAATGTTAGTACCACTTCCCCACAGAAATAAATCAACTAATTGCATCTACTTACTCCCTTACTTGCAAAGCCACTTCTAATATCTATAAAAAAATAAATAAACATTGTTAACATTGATAAACGTAGGGATAAAAATTTGAGTATTGAGCTAGGCTTAATTGAATTTAAATTTTGTAAACATTATTAGCACAGATATAACTAACAACGTGTAAAGGCTATATTCATTCAAATTAATAACAAATTTCCACTATCTAATGTGTTCTATAGCTTCTCAGCCATTGAGATTTCAATGCTCAATGATCCATCTAGTTCTCACCTAGGCTCCAGGCCCTCTTTCTCTCTCTTCTCTGCTCACCTAATTCATGCAATATTCCTACCTCTCATTGAAATTTACTCTCTACCACTTTTTTGTTTAATTCTCATTTCTTAATTGTTTAATTTTCGGTTTAGGTTTAGTAGAGCTAATTCTTTGATGCGTGTGATTAATTTTAATCTCTAATCCTAAATGCAGGCGACACTCAACGCCTCATGCTCCCTTCATTATTTTTCATTAACTCTCTGAGAAGGGAAATGAAAAAATACGACAAATCGACCATTCAATTTCTATGTACCATTAAATGTCGATTGAAATGGTAATGAGTAGTTTTGGGAGATAATGTCAGACATTTTTGGTCAGGAATTTCCTCAACTACAGGAAGATCCTCAGATATTCCCCTCTAGAGCCTAATTCCCCAAGTTAAATAAAAAAATAACAAAAGTGTAAAATTCGATTTATCGCATTTTATCACTTCCCAGGAGATGCATCTATTCTGACGGAGCAGTAATCAAAGTGGAGTGAGGTAAAAAAAATCTACGCTAATTATCAACCTCCAGAAGCTGTCTAATTAACTGAACCCTCTCGTTTTATTCCAATTTACAATTCATTGTGTCGAGAAGGAGCGATATCCATTTGTGAATTTATTTCGTGTCTTTCTTCATTTTTTTTTTCTCAGTGACTTCACCCATAGATCTAATTCTCTCGTTATTTTTATTGCTTACGCATCGATCTTTATCATTTGATTTCCAGTCGGTTTCACTTAAAATTGTAAAATAGAAAACTATTCATACCCAGGTAAAGTAGTGAAAAAAGCCCTCAACACTGCAATTACCTCTAGAACAAGGGCTTTTAAATCGAAGTAATGAGTGAGTGATTTTCTGACAATTTCTTCTCACTTTTCCCTAGCCCCTCACCAAAATAATTCCATATTCAATAAAACCCCAAAAGTCTCATCGTATCCTGCCGTTCCGTCATTTTCACCTGTGAAATAAATTCCATAGAAAATCCCAGTATTTTCCTTGAAAATTCACTTGAATTTCCATTGGAACTCTCTAAAAACTACAAATAACTTTTTAATCGCCCTTTTCGCTAATTTGATTGTACATTCGATAGAAAAAAGTTGAAATATTTTGATTTTTCTGTTTGAATTTTTCTCAAGAGATTTTTCATCCATACAGAAAGTATCCCAAGAGAATATAAACATAGAAAAATCCAAATCCACTGACTTTTTCCTATCCAAAACTTGTCATAGAATCATCCAAAAAAATTAATAGATTTTCCAGAGACTTCGCCCCGAAATTTGCGAATTGTTCTATAAAGTGCACTGTACTGAATTATTTCATACACGTGAAAATGAAATAAAAATGCAAAAGGTGCGTTAGAAAAAAAATTGAAATGCCGAATTACATACAATTGTTTGACAATGAAACTCAATCATGAAGATTAATAACAAATGAGTGTTGAGAGAACGTAATAATGGTGAAATCGTTAAAAATCGTCGAGCGACCAGCGCTTCGTCCTCTCAAAGCGCACCTTTGAGCTCATTTTTCCCCAGATTTAATTAACTCGGTATCTCAACGCAATTGGACAGACCAATCAGCACAGAAAATTCATCATTTACAAGTTGATGTTAATGTGCTGATTGGACTGGCCAGTTGCGTTGATTACGGTTCATTTTCGCAGGCTGTCTTTGCTACTCGCTCGGCTGGTGGACGCGGTGGAAGATTCACCAGGTCCACCAGGATTGCTTGCATCACCGTTGATACTCGAACCAGCTAGAGAGGCTGTCGGTGTTACAGGGGCTGAACGCCTTCGGACTTTCGTCAAGGCCTTGTCCAGACGTTGGATAAATGCATCAACGTCCAAACGTTTCATCCCCAGAGCTGCAGCTGCTGTCAGATATGGTATTGGGTAATTACTGTTGTGGGCTCCCCAGCCTACAATCAAAATTCATTACAGAATTTATTAATTAAGAATCTTCAAGTATTTCTAAAATAGATAAAACTTATGAGTATTTTTTTTCGTCGACGAACGTCAATTCGATCAATTCGATAAATTCGATCAGTTCAACCACCAACGGAAGAATTTTATAACTCAAAATAGAACTAGTACAATCAGTAATTGAATTGTTTTAGTTTTTCATAAACAAACTTTCTCAGAAGGAAATTATTTAACTTGTCGATTACCCTCGAATTTATGTGATACCACGTGTTTAACATCAGTGGTAGTTATAACTCTGGCCCCGCTGACGTTCCTGACGAACAGCATGGAGCCCAGCATGGTGACTTGCTTGTGGTCATGCTGATGACTCAAGCACTGAAGTGTCATGCCCATTGATATGGGATTCCCCTTGGTATCTAGGAGTCTCTCCCCGTGCCTTGTGGCCAGTTTCCCAAGCTCCTCTTTCAGATAAGCGTACATCTCCTTTCTCTGGGCTATCAGCTGCTTGTACCCAGCCATTCCTAGACTCAACAATGTTATCATTACGTCCATCGTCGAGCTCGCGTTTGCCCGGCCTGGATACATCTTTGAAATTCGATCTAGTAGGTTTTTATCGAATGAACCTATCACTGCACCACCCACTGGCACCAGGAAATTCTTATCTGTACTTTGGACAAATGCATCAACTCGGCCTTTCCTAGATGCCTCTTGGATCAGATGCATGCATCTGGTACTTTGTAATCTGTTGGAAAATAGGAAACACTGATTACTAATTTTTTACGTGATGATCGTGAGTTTAATTAATTCATTGATTCAGTAGTCAAATGGCAAAGACGAATTTAGTCGATTTTATTACCATTATTATCTTGAAAACTATTGATTTATGGTGGAAACATGAAAAGATTTTTTATGTAGCTAATTAAATTTCCGACAAAAACGATTTGCTTACAGTTCTTTCTACAACTGATATTTTTCAAAGTATTTCAATCTTTACGAAAACTAAATAAACTAAACTAATTCTTCTAATGTCGCTTTACCACTTCTTTTTTAAGTCATTGATTTCAAATTGTTATTCAACGCCTATAGCGAGGCAATTATTACAACAAATGGCACTAATGAAAATAATTAGTAGTACCAATTAATAAATTCATAATTCATAATGAATTAATTTTATGGAAATTCCGGAAGAGCGCAAGCATTTTCCTAGAGGAATCATCAGAACATCAGTTACATTTAAACTACTGAAATTGTATGTTACTCATTACGAAATGAATATTGAGTCTTACCCATAAGCATTATTGACCAGATGTGGAATATTATACTGAGTGCACAATGCAGCAATAAGATCGACCGAATCACAGGCCCTTGGGGAGAAACAACTTGTCGTCGATAATACACAGGCGATGCTTTCTCCTAACGCAGCCATTTGAGATTCTAGTCTTTGCATATCGGTCTTCAATTCATCGCCGATAATCTGCATCTCGATAACTATCGGCTCCAATCCCGCTGTTATTATCGATTTGAAACTGGACTTTTGGTCGATTCTAGGCCAAAGGACGTATTTTGCTCGGGGTCGGTCCTGTTTCAGAGTGAGCATGCAGAGAACGAGACTCATCCCTGTGGCCATGGGAGAGAGAAAGCATCCAGCTATGCTTTTCACTCCTGGAATAGCGAAATCCCCGTTAAATCAAGTCTTCCAGGCATGACAACATCAGAATGAAATTCTAATGATGGAAGACGACCAAAAATATTCGACGATTAGCTTTTGGTAAATATCTCAGAACCTAATTGAGACAGCAAAATGTCGTATGAGAACTTTAACTAGAGTAAAACGAGAGCTACAAAAAAGGCTTATCACATTTTGTCGTATCTCACGTGGATTTCCAGATATTCTTCATTAATTGGTAGAACGAAAACGAAAAATATTCGATGATTAGCTTTTGGTGAATATCTCAGACTCTAAGGCCTACGGAAAAATGTTGTGAGGACCTTTTTCGTAGAGCGCAATGAGAGCTATAAAAATGTCTTTTCACTTTTTTTGCTATCTCGTACAAATTTTGAGATATTCAGCGTTCTGAGGAGTGATACTTCAGCATTAAATGGAAATCTCTTACCCATGTATCGAATTACTTCGAGGACAAGTGCATTAGTTAGTTTGTACATTAGACTGCTTCCTGCAGCTTTCGGCTGGACTTCCTCAAGATCCCCGGATCTCCCAATACCGTGCCCCATTCGAAAATGACGTCTCGCAACGAGATTCGATACTATACGTGACTCGCGTTCTCCAACACTGCAATTCAGGGGGAAATTGTTGCTGTCCATTTGAGATAAGTCTGAGAGGAATGCCTCGATTGTTGCATCGTCCCATCCCTCTTCTGGCCACTTTCGCTGCATTTCCGAACAATTTTATTCATTAATTACGACGGACTCCAACGAAATAAGTGGCAAGTGGCATTTTTCATTTTTCAAGTTTTTTTTTTCAACAAATTTTCGAGAAACGGCTCTCAAAATTGACATGGGAAAATATACCGATATTTTTTAATTGTACCCATTGATAACAAAGCTAGTAAAATTAATTAATTAGTAGAATTTTGAAAAAGTTTAAACATATACATTATGAATGGTTCAAGCGGAGAATGTGTGACACATGAATGTAACACCAAAGAAAATAAAAATTATTATTATTATTATTATTATTATTATATCGTTTTGAAGTTTTATTATTATTCAATGTCTCACAAAGTTTCATCATCGTTGAAGAATTTTCCTACGTCCTCCGCAAACTTTTACGAAAATTTTCAAAACTTTACCAAAAATTGAGAAAAATAAACGCATCGCTATAAAAATTTGTGAATCATTAAATAATGATAAGACATAAAATTTATATATTTTTCTACGTAATTCTGGGTTAACGAGAAATTTCCAGAAAACGTGAAAAATGATAAGATATCGGCAATAACGCCTTAAACATGATTACTCCTTAAACAGCAAATGTCAAAATGCATTTTTTATCAAATATCCAATCATAGTGCGATAATTTCGATCGCGATTCGATTAAAACCGTTTTCTCTCATGATTTTATACATTTCCAGAATCAGAGAAATTTTTTTAAAAAACTAAAATGCCACATAATCAATTGTTGAAAGGAGAATTTTTCTCAATATTTGATAAATAATTCCAATAAGAACCCTTTCTTCTTTTAAGATGAATTTATTTAAAGGTGTAATTCTCGCAAGAAAAAAAAAAGATAAAATATCTAAAACTATTTTTCTTTTACTCACAAAGGAAAAGTTGAATGAGAAATGTCTACTCGTGAAACTCTACTCACATGTTCGATAAAATGTCGAATAAGGTTTTCCCTGGTTTTCTTAGCATTCAATCCCTGCTGCACATACGTCGAAGGGATGAGCCTCTCGGCCAAGCTGAACGCCTGATTGTTCATCCTCAATATCCCCCAAATAACTCGAATCCTTTGTAATCCTTCAGTTGATTTTCCAAGTGCCTCACTCCAATATCACCATACCTCTCTCAATCCTCTTCACAGTCTCTCAACCCTCTCGTCCATAGTCGCCCATTAACCAGAACCCCTAATTCGATTACTAAAAATACCACTAACATGAGGGAAACGGACTGTCTTTGATCCCAATATCAACGGAGATCGACAGGCTAAATTCTTCAGGCACGAATGCTTCATCATTCGCAAATAGCTAAAGGGTAACGAGCCTTTCATCTAAGATATAAGTTTCTAAAGAATATAATTGAATTGAAGAGAGCTAGAGTAATTTTTATTAATACGTTTTTCTACCTTTCTTTCCACTCTACAGCTTAAGTTCTTGGTAAAATTTCGCTATCTGTCTTAGATTCCGAGATATTTCTCAAAAACTCGTCTAGAGAACCAGTCGACGTTACCCTTTATCTCTTTGTGATTTCATTTGAGTACTTGATCCTTAAAAATAAACCAAATTCATCTGAACTTTCAATTTATGGCTTTAAATATTTGATTATAGTATCTCACTCCCCCAAACGCAAGCTTAACTAAAATATTGGTGTGTTGCGGATGAATAAATAACCAAAACATCATTTGCAGGTGTCATAAACATTTATTGCAATGAAAATCATAAAATCAGATACAAGTAACAAGAAAAATGAATAAATGTGTATAAAATAATTATAAACATCGTGTACTATTAAATTGCCAAACTGAAAATAACGCAGTTGCACAGAATAAATGCAAGTGAAAATTTAATTTTAAGTAAGGAATTATTTAATTATATTAAACATCTCATTTAATTCCACAGAAATTACCAATGTCTCGGTATTATTTATAAAATTTCCGGAAAATCAAACTCCATTTTATGTCATTATTTTTAGTAATAAATATATATTGTATTTAAAATGACGGACTCAGGTAGAAGTGACGTGAAAAATTGAAGAAACATCCAAGAAAAACAGTTGTGTTCAAAACAATAATAAATATCGTGCATACCAAACAGATAAACTATGAAAAAAGATTAACTAAACCCAAAGAAAATTCCTCAATCCATTTAATCAATTACTTACAGTCACATTAGAGGAAAACTTTTGTATTAAATCATGGATTCAATGATTCATTTGATCATGAATTCATTTGAGATGATTCGATAATTAACAAATCTGTAAGAAAAATTCGTTCATCACCTTTACCAATTGGCTACTGAATTTAACTTCTTTGATTCAATTCATCAACGAAGATGTCATGGGTTTTTAATTAATCTCTCGATCATCCAGAGTGTGCAACTGGTGACTAATTCAGTAAATGACAAGTCTAATAATTATATTGAGGCTGTTATCATTAAAATTTCACATTCTTCAGCAACTCGACTTTCCTCTAGATATATTTTTACAAATTTAATAGTAGAATATTTACGTTCTGTCAGTCTCCATGAGGAGACGTCCATTAAATAAATATTGAGAGCAATACCAACTTGTCAATTAATAAATAAATCAATTGAATTTTTGTCTATTCCAATGGCTAGAGAATTGCCTAGAGAGATTTCCAACAAAAATTTACTGTTAAAATGCAATTGTTTTCCTATTTCCATATAAACTTAGCACAAATTCCAGGAAATCCACAAGAATTTTCCTCTAAAATTTTTCTCTACCCTGCCAACAATTAATTTCGAGTAAAACGATTGTGGACCAAAAACATAATATTGAATTCCCCTGAAACTCCAAACAATTACCTAACTCAACCAATTAATAATACCAGTGTGTACCCCAAGGTTATTAATTAAATATCCACTTGATTTTTCAATGACACCGCATTGTGCTCTCGATTGAGTTTATTCCTGAAACCACCTGAGATTCCAGGGCACCCTGAAGGTTATGTGGCCCTGAGTATCAATACCTGAAAGTCCTTCCTCCCCTCCCAAATGACTTTTTAAAAAACCCACTAAAACCCTGAAAAAAAAACCTACAAGTCCCCCTTTCGAAAGAAAAACTCGGAAAACCCCTCCCAAGATACTTTAATAGATGGGCTGGGTCTTAAAAATCCACCCAATGCCACCTCCCCTGAAAAACCAATTTAGACCACAACTATAAGCCCACGATTACACGTGATTGGCGACAATTGTCACAGAGGTGAAGCCACAACAATAAGCACAAGTGCAAGCAAAACAGATGATTAATGAACCCCCCAGTTCCGGGTATATGGTGATCACCGACTGACGTGAAAAAATTGACGTGTCGTTGTCTCAGTCTAAACCCCCTGAATATATATATTTTCTCGTTTATTCTAGGTTATCCTAGTGGGTAACATTAACAACGATACCAAACGAGACTAGAACATCGAGGTCACCCCCAAATCGGATTAATTTAAGTCAATGTAGGATACTCAATACATACTCCCACTAAGTAGTCTATTCGCCACGAGTCGTTTGGTTGTTTTGGTTGTCGAGTTTTTCTATTCAATAGGCCCCAGTGGATCACGCCAAAATAATTCCCGTAATCAGTCAATCTTTCTTCACTTTTTTTTATTAATCCTCTCACTCGCACTTCTGCTCGACCTGACGTACGGAGAATAAGGCCCGTTGCCTTGGTGAATGTTGGGACATTTTTGAGGGCTTTTTTTTAAAATCCTTCTTCGATTTGGAGGTGAGCTGGGTGTTTTTTTTGTTTGTTGGGCGAAATGAAGGGGACTTGTGCTATCGCGGGGCTCCGAATTTTACCTCTCTATATGGTAACACCTCGGGTTGTGAACAACCGACAACTACGTGCTTCTACGATATATTCAACATCACCAACATCACGAACGCCACCACCAACTTACTCAACCGCCGCCTACACCAGCCAGAGACCACCTAACGGAAATTCAAATCGTCCTTTTATTCGTCCCTCCACTATCCGCCAGGTGCGGTATCTGTTTGTTTCTTTCATTTTCATTCCACTCGAATTATTGTTTTTTCTCATTCCACTCGAATTATTGTTTTTTCTCATTCCACTCGAATTATTGTTTTTTCTCATTTCACTCGAATTATTGTTTTTTTTATTCAACTCAAATTATCCTTTTTTTCATTTCCTACGACACTACTCTTCGAGGACCTGCCTTTCACCCAAAATTAACGTTTGTTGTTTTATTTTTTTTAGTTTTCTGGCAAATTGTTGATCGGGTTCACCCAAAACAACACACAGTTTTCGAATTTTATTATTATTTTAACAATCACGAAGTTTTATCAGCGTGAAATAATTTCACTGGATTTTTTCTGGATTTCACTGGAGTTTTGTGGATTTTTGAATTATTAAATAATGACGAAATCAATCGGCTCAACGATTTGGTAGAAAACTGATAAAACTGGTTATTTTCGCTTAGGGGGGGCAAAACATCTTTAATTACTTGTTCGTTTACTCTGATAACCATTGTGATGTCTTGGAAAAATAACTTTGACTAAACTCTGTTGATTAATACGCTAAATTCCGGTTAATTGCGCTGAATGTAAACAATAATATTTATTTTCATGGAGCCTACACGACGGGTTTTCCTATCCGTACGATCCTCATAATCTCGTCATACAAAAAGAAGAAAATAAAAACAATTTTTATATTTTGCAAAAACCATAAATATAAATTCAGTAATACACTAAATTCCAAGTAATTATTTCAAAAGTAAGCAATAATGTTCGTTTATTCATTGTATTTTCATCACACATTAATGCAATGTATAATTGTTTACTTTCCAATAATCTCAAACGATTATTTCTGTTTTTCCCGCGCTTCTGGTTGCATAAAAAAACGAGTCTAATCGCGTCCTAGATATCAGTTCTTCAATAAAAATTCAATTATCCCTCGCCGGGAGCCGAAATTGCCATCGAAGTTTAAAATTCCCTGACTCCCTCCAAAACCCAACTTCAAAATGAAATCTAAATTTTGCCCGCACAGTGTATTCCACACATCACTCATCTCCACAGCCAGAAATAAATTCCATCGTCACTCGAGGTCGACTAATTGCCAGCCACGCGTGTCATCCATATGCGAAAAAAAATGTTGTCTTCACAATGACGTCGATTGCGTCAATAGCGAGTGTCATCTGGCATGGATACGACATGCCGTATGACCCCAGAGTCCCCTCGGTGGATTTGACAGCCGTCCGAGGCCCTCAACCAAAACAAACTCAGGAAAATCTCAGTCGTTACCTCCACCAGCATTCAAACGCCTTCGCGCTCCCCCGCCACCTGCGCACTCCTTCTGCGCACTTCTCTAGTTTCCCCTAGTTCCTCTCAAAGACACATCGGCGCTACCCTCACCCGTTGTGCCCCCATTTCTCTGTAAATCTCGATGACAAGTGACTTGTTCGTGTATTCGGTGTATTTGCTTATTTGCTCGGGCCAAAATACAAGTGTAAACTGTCAGTCATACCGAGTCAGTTGTCAAACCGGTCGTCTCCAGAAACTCGACGTAAGTGTCATCACGTGGCTGAAGATCGTATTTTATTGCTGAATTTTTCGTGAAATAATGACTTTTTACTCATGTACCACATTTCTTATTTGCTTCTGAGAATTTAGCACAAAGAAAGCTAGACACTTCATAATTGTGGGCTTATCTTTTATGAATTATTCATGTGCACTTTGTTTATGAGTTGTGATGGTGCGAAGAGCAAGTTGTCAATGTTATTATATTGAGGAGAGTACTGGAGAACTTTAGATGATCAATCTGGATTTTTCTTGGTTTTTAGCTGATTATGGATCTGGAGAACTGCAAAGCGCAGGGAGATCGATCTTCGGGACACCATGAGGATCCTACAGGACACAAGAAGTGGTATCGACAGGCTAGTCAAAGGTAATTGAATTTTTCAATTGTTCTGTTGTATTTTGGTCGCAATTTTGAAAAGTTCACTCCATGTTTAGACTTAGCTTCTGTTTTTGGAGAGTATCTTTGAACCTGTTAAAGATAACGCATCCCCGTGAGGAACTTTTTTGCAGCTGTTACTTTTATCTACAAAAGTGGTCTCTACAAGTTTTTCATGTTTCCTTTGGATTCTGAGATTAAGAGATATTCGTAGAAAGCGATCTGCGAGTCGAGGTTATTTCACGCTGTAGAATCTTGCTACTGAACAAATTAATCAATTCACTCATCGATAACTCAGCCTGAGCAGAGTGAAATCTCACCAAAAATATGTCATTTTGAAGATATTCTCTTAATCCTTAAAATGACACCAAATTCGTTCGAATCGCATCATTTTGTCATGAGATATGTCAGATCTGAGATGCTGCTTGTTTCCTCTCTCTTTTCACATTTTTGCTGTTTTCGTTTTCAATTTGTGTTCGCCTCGTTTTTAATTTATTTTGGAAACTCTGGTAGGCGCCTCTACTCGTTACGCGCAGTTATCGTCGCCCCTTCCTTCCATACTGAAATAAATGGAATCCCACCTAAAAATACAACTCGCGAAATTAAAGTTCTCGAGAAACGAAGGCTACTTCTCAGGTTTTTTAAACTTATTTATCATGCGTCAGCATGAAGATGCACTGTTTATCCAAAATATGGGGAGTGTTGAGACATGTTTGTTTGGTGATATAAGAAAACGTTTTGCGTCATGGGATTGAGGCCGATGATTCATTGATAAGGAACTGAAGTTGCCGGGAGGCGTAAACATGTAGAATGAGGTCTTATGTTCATACAGATTCTCAATATTCCTAAAAGATTTTAATCAACAAAAAATTGCTGCGATCATTCATTGAGTCGATAATGATTTGCAGAGGAATTCACACCTGTGTTATAAATTAATTCCCAATTTTTCAGTAAAATTTCAGATAAAAATGTCTAAGAAATTTTGTCGTTGAAAATCTAAAATTTCATGGAAAACTCCTGAGAATTGTAAATTACTCGTTAATTGTTCACTAAATCATATCACTAAAACCCGGAGTTTTACTTAGGGATTTTTGCCGATAGTTTTTGATTTTTTGTTTTGATTTTTTAAATGATTTTATGGGAAACCGGGGATCGGATTGACGTGAAAAAATTTATCATTTTTTGATTTTACCATTATTCATCAATGATCAATAAATTTTCGTAATCGTACGTCTATTTTCCTGAATTTTTTAAATTGATGTGATTATCCAATGAAGCTTCGTGACATTGAATGATCATACCAATTTAATTAACCGTTTCTCAGAAATTTGTAAGCAACTTGAAAAATGAGAAAATATCGTTAATAAATCTTCAAGGCTTCAGCGCAATTTGAAATACCACGGAAATATCATTGGCGATAAAAAAATTACAGTCATTTCTTTGAGGGTGCCATGGAATCATATTTCCTGGAAAATTTTTGAAAAGGGACGAGTTTTCAATTGTAATGGCAGTGAGGTGAAAATTTCCCAACCTGATGGAAATTTATCCCCGAAAATTTCTTGATTGTTTCATAATTTCTGTAACATAATTGAATAGAAAAATTAACGACTTTATAAATTTCCAGATTACTCCACCAGAAAAACAATATAATATATAAACATTCAACACTAAGATGTTGAAATTTCAGTGAAAGTTGAACACGATAAAAATTTCCAGGAGTCAGCCTTGCAGATGAACTCCAGAAAATAAATTAAATTTTCCACCCTAAAAAGTCTGTAAAGGTTAAAATCGATAAAATCGAAGACATTTGGAATGCACTTTCGATTTCTCGGTAAAAATATTTTTCACTTTCCCATTGGCGTTGTCTCGCCAGATTGTAAAATCTGCGTTGAAAAAACTCGATACTCGTTCGATTGACCTTTCCCCCGTTTTCTGAGGCGCCTTATCGTCTTTGTCTTGACGGGATTTCGTCGCAATGCGAGGAAACTGGTCCCCAAGTACGAAACACTCGTCATTCCAGTAGTGGTGCGCCAGCAAGCCAGTCCTTCCTAACAGTCACTCAACAATTTTAATTCGTTTGATTCATTACCGATAAAAAATTACAGCACGAAATCGAAATCGATAAGACCATGAGCTTCGATATCTTTGTATCGCCCACGGAAAACGGTAACCAATTGATTTTTGTACAGCTGTTTGTGACGGCTATTCCTCGCTGGAGAATTTAATAATCATTTCATGAATATTCAGCACCACCTGCTCTGACGGACAGAAGCTTCACCGATTTTGGACCTCATTACGATGAATTCACCAGGCTGCCCTATAAACGAGAGCTTGGACACAGGTAAAATCACGCGATGATGTTAATTGATTTTTAGATTACCCTGTGGGAAAATCCTCTGGAAATTTGTGATGTGAAAGCTGACGGTTTACCAGCGATTCATTTACTATCTTCATGTTTGCAAACTCTTTTTTTTTTAAGACTCTGATTTTTTTGTCTCTATGACAACTACAATTATTGGGACTGGTGACAATTTGGGGACAGATTATGTGGGAAATTTCGGTATTGACAATGGAAATTTTACCAGATGATCTACCAATTTTCAATTTATAAATGTGACATTTTCACCCCCAAAATCATAATTTTTAGAGAAAAATATATCATAATGTTTCAGAAGAATCGAGGACTGAATCTCTAGTGAAAAATCAGAATGATCTTTGAATTTTCACGAAAACTTCGGGTTTTGGAGATTTTTCCTCTCGAATTCACTCGATCATTTCAGAAATTTCACATTTTTTTTAAACAATATACATTTCGATTCTTCACTAGACTTCTCCTCTAACATTTCTCTCCATTTCTAGGGAACAATTGTCTTCGCTTCTTGATCAGTTTGAAAATTAATGAAATAGATTATTTATTGTGTAGCGAGTTTTTGAATTCATGCTGTCTTGGAATATTTAATTAAATTATCAAAATGAAATTAAATGGATTGCAAAGCAGAGAATTTTTATTCAAACGAGTAATTGCTCTTTCATTGCGTATATTCATTTTTCGTAAATAAATTAGCAATGCCTTTTCGAATGATCATCTGAGAAATCCTCTGATATCAACTGTATCGAAACTATCATAGGAGCTCAAATCAAATTCAGTTGAAGTAGAATAAACCGCGCCAGCGCCAGAATTCAAAAATTTCCAAAGTACACATTTTGGTTAATCTTTCCTAGACATCAATGCAACAACTATTGCTATTATTTCCATCTTCCATCTCACTCAACAAGACATCAAAATAAATTTTCCAAGCCACCATTGAACTATTTCATAACATTTTTTATTCAGTTATGGAGAAAACACTTTTTTTTTTTAATTCACAAATTAATTCAGTCTCAATTCATATCGCCGGCTAGGGTTCAACAATATTTACATGTGAGGAAAATAAATGATGTAATATTACTGATACATTAGCCTGTGATTGGTGATGAACTCTGAAATTTATTGAATATTAATTGTCCTTGAATTATTTTTGGTTCATATAATATACAAAATGAGAGAGTTAATTGTGATTGATTCCAATATTTGCATTCGGAGCAAAAAAAATCAAATCAAATGTATTAATAGGATTTCTATTAGTGAATAGAGAAATTTAGGATCATCTAGCAATGGGAATATTTTAATCACGTATTAGATATAAATTCAGTTTTAGTCGTCATCTTTTGCAGAATCTTGCGACACTGATAAACTGCTGTAACGAGCCACGAGACAGATAATTGAGCCTCGTGTCTCGATATAAATCAGGCGACAGAAAATTTCCGAATCCCCACGTTTATTACCGACATACTTACCCTCCCTCCGTATTTTTTTACAATAATTTTTTGGAGGTCGAATTATTTTGGCTCTCCAGGACGTCAATCGTCCTGGGCACTTCGCCAGGATAAAAAACTAGATGTACCGGGGAAATTGAGTACTTCCTTCTGCAACATTTCCTCGAGATTATTTTTCGACTTACCATTTTCCGAGGGATAATTTTATTTTAGTTTTCAGGGATATCACGTGAGTTTTATTTTCGTCTGCAGTTCAAGTTCAATTATGTTATCAGGCGCTACGTCTTGTCATTCCGTCGTTATCGGACTCCCTGCAGTGAAATTTCACGGAATTCGTTAGTGGAAAATTTAAGAATTGAGAGGAAGATATTTCGAAATGTCAACAAAATTTTATAGCGAGGTATAAAACGGTTTTGGTCGTCTGAGTTTCTGCTCCCTAAATGAAATGGCGATTTTTTAATGAAAACGGTTACTGTAAAGCAAATTAATTATTGCAAAAAAAATTATGACCAAAATTTTGCTATTCCCTTTAGTTTCGCTAATTTCCACAGGAAATAATCCAAAAGTCAAAATTTATCAAATCCTTCTAGCCCTTGGTTTTTAAATGTCAGAAGAAATCTGGAATTTCTGGAAGTTTTTATCACTGAATTTAAACCATTCCTTCAACTAAATGATATAATAAAAATCAACTGAAGTTTCGACAATTCAGGTGAAGATATTCTTTAATTTGTGGTTTCTGGAAATTTTAGAAACTTGGAGTTTCACCGATTTTTTTTCTCTCCAACAGAGTTTAAGGAGTTGGTATCTATATATTTTCATTTTTCATAATTTTTGTAACGTTCTGGGTACTCGTGGGTCAGATTCACGTGAAAAAATACCGTTCTTTGGTTTTATTAATGAAAAATAATGAATTTAATAAATAAGTCATACATTTTCCTAGCTCTGCATGTATTTATCTAAATTTTATGTAAAGTTTCGTGAATTTTTGCAAAAGTTTGCAAAAGTTTGCAAAAGTTTTCTAAGAACATCGGAAAATTCTTTCACTGGATTAAAATTTAAAAGTATATTTTTCCACCTCAATTTAATCAACGGTTTCTCCGAAATTTCTAAAAAGCTTAAAAAACCAGAAGATATCGGCAGTTATTGCTTAATATAATTTTACAAAAATTAATTTAATCAGCATTTTATTCACATACTTCCCATTTCTCTCAATTTCACTTCACACTTCTCCCGAGTTATGAAGGCAATGATGTTTACTTCACGCAATAACTATTTTGATAAAAGATATCAACTGACGTATGTCCGCCATAATAATTTATTATCCCTGGATGAGTCAATGTTTACCATTTTTAAATGATGAATGCGTTGAACTGACGGTGAGTTCAGATAGTACCAAAAAATCTTCAGGTAATTGACAGCGAGGAAGTGCCACACGCAAGGGCAAGGTAGAATAATCCATTCTGACCCACCTTTTCACTCATCGCGTGATAATTGCCTATTTCACAAGATATTCGTGCAGTCCTGCACGTAATCTGTGAGTTTTCACTCCGCCAAAAATATCTAGGGTATTTTCAAGATTCTTGGGATAATTGGACGAGCACAATTCCACACGTTATTTATTATATGTCCAATCTTAAAAAATCACTGGCAATTCGATTAAACTCTCTCTTTTAGGATCATGATGATGATTATTATTATTGTTAAGTTAATTGATTTTGTCAATTATACCGGGTTTAGACATTTTTTCTTAACTAAACAAAAGGCAATTCTTCGATTTGTTCGATTTTTTATTGAGGTCTTCGATTTTTTATCATCTTGGGATAAAAAATATAGGGGAGCGCGGGGTAATATGGGCATTTTTTTATTTAAATGAGATTAATAACATTTATTATAGCATTTTATTACTTGCTAGTAATACTGCCTAAAGTCCTTCTCAGACTGTGTAATGACTATCGAATATATAATCATATATTATTATGATGGTGATGATAATGATGATAATGATGATGATAATGATGATGATAATGATGATGATGATTATTATTATTATTAATTATATCAAAGTGAATGTCAAATTAATACATTGGAAAGATCTTCACATGACGACCAATGAACTGGGAATTGTTTTTCGAATTTTGCAAGAAATTAGGGAAAGCTCGAGAAAGAATGTAACTGGAACCAACCAAGAAATCCAGGAATTCGGCGATTAATCAATCGATTCCTTTCATCCATTACGAATTTATCAACGTAGTTCCAGCTTCAGTGATAATTTTCTTTTAGATTTCACTGGAGTACTGAGTCATTAGACATTACACGCACTTCATTGCTGAGATAATTCCACATCATCGTCGTCAGTCGAATGAAATTGCAGTGAATTCGCGATCCTACAATAAACGTTTAGGTTTCACTGGAGCACTAGGTCGTCAATAATCTCCAGTCGAATGAATTTCCAGGGAATTCCAGGACCTCGCAGTGGAAGGAACCTATGCGAATCTAAGCATGAATGTCTTCATAAAAAACTGGGCCTCAATTACCACGCGCTAGGCCCAATCAATCGATCCTCTTTATCCATGAGAAATCCATAAACACAATTTCAGCTCCAGTGATGGACGTTTGGATTTCACTGGAACACTGGGTCATCAGACACTATACCCACTTCAATGTCGAGGTAATTCCACCTCATCCTCTCCAGTTGGATGAGTTTCCAGTGAATCGCCCACCAGCTCAATTCCCCCACATACCCATCCCCGGAAGTACAGATCCACCTCTCATTCCATTTATTAAAGAGTTCGCTGGCTCAAGCACTCAGTAACTCTCTGATCATCGACGAGTGCACTTGAAAGTTGAATCATCAGATTCTGAATCGTCCAACGATTTTCTACGGATTGACCCCAGTGAAAAGTCTCTGCTCCACTGATTCATCATTTTTTCACTTTACCGTCGAGTTACGTCAGTTAAGGAGTTCCCACCGCGAATCGTCGACGAGTACTTACTTTCTCATTGATCAGCCTCTCTATACCGAGCCCCTCTTCACTTATTGAGTAGTATGAAGCTCAAGGACAAGTGTAATGACGTTTCAATGCAAAGTTCCAAGTTCGTTAATCCCCAGCGATTTGCGCCAAACGAGTAAGTCCAACTAGTCCAACGATTTTTATTCTTTTCATTGCTCTATTTTCCACACTAGGACAATGCCATTGTCAGTTTCTTATTCTCTTTGGTGTATTTTTGCGCAGTGAATTAGTCATTGACGGGAATAACATTATTCTCACGCGCTGAGTGCATTTTTCACAATATTTTCAGAAGTCACTAGCAGCTGCTGCCTTTCAATACAGGTGATAAACGATCGTTTACTCATTTGTGAGACACGTTGGATTCTTTCTGTAGTAATTTTATCAATCGTAAATGAAAAATTAATTTTCACTCAACCCGTTTTCTTCGGTTTATTTAAATTCTTTCATTTCAAATTTATTATTTACTAAAATTATCTCGGAATTTTGGAAATTATGTAGACATGATTTTCACATTTTAGGGGTGTAGCAAAATTTTTTTGAATACACGCTATATTAATTCATTTTTATATTTATTAATTTATCTCAAATTCTCTCTTTGCAGTGGAAAAACGAGAAGTTTATTACAATGCATTGCTTTTGTTTTAAACTGTCAACAAATTTGTAACATTAAGAATTTTTTTGTGTTCTGTTCTAATTTGAGATATTACGAATAAAAATATCCGAGTGTAATGAACTCATTGAATTCTGTTATTTCGTCACTAAAGTTCACGTACAATCTATGATATCCAATGGTAATGCTCTCGTATATATTTATGCATCCATAGAAACAATTGAGAAACGAAAATAAAACGCGAATAATGACTCGAGTAATGAGACTAGAGTAATGTGAAGGAAACGTTGAAAAAATGAAAGAAAAACAAAGGAAGAAAAACATGGGCTCTCGTGTGAGCTTGTATCGATGGGCAGATAATATTACAATGACGTCTCGTTTCTCAGAAATGACAAGTGTAACCGATACGGATCATTCGATTTGCCTGTCACTTGGAGATCCTCGGGAGGAATATACGGATTTAATGGGCCCCAGGCACCAGGCTAGAAACAGGTTCCACTCTCATACCTTCTAATCTCCAATAAATGATGACTTAATTAACATTTTTTTTGTCGCAGAATATTCGTCAATAGGAGTCTCCATCTGGAGAACATAAAATTCTATGGATTTGATATGGATTATACACTGGCTGAGTACAAATCACCTCAGTATGAGCAGTTGGGCTTCAATTTACTGAAGGAGCGTCTGGTTTCGCTGGGATATCCACAGGAGATTCGTGCCTTTGAATATGATCCTAGCTTTCCCGTCAGAGGCTTGTGGTTCGATACTCTGTATGGAAACTTGTTGAAGGTCGATGCTTATGGAAATATTCTCGTTTGTGTTCATGGATTTGAATTTCTAAAGCAGTAAGTTACACGTGGGCCTAAATATCTATCATTTTTGACAGTAATGAGTGGTCAGTCAACGTTCAACTGGAGGATTATCCTTGAATCGGTGAGATATACGGAATTTTTTGTCGAAAATTCCTCTGATGTGTGGAGAGCCGCCAAAAAGGCATCTAGTAAAGCTTAACTGTCTCGATTAGATTCAGAGATATTCCTCGAAAACCTGACTATTAGCTAAATTCAATCGTTTGCATATAAGGAAATTCGTTTTGCGAATCCTTTTTCTCAAAAATTTTTTGCATTTTTCCAAATGAACATCTGTATTTTTATTTATTCCTCATTTGTTTGGCGATTTTCAGAACATTTGCATTTTTATTATCTAATCTTTCCCATTGAATTTTTTATTCCTAGAAAACTTTGCAATTTAAAAAAACGAAAATATTTGTAGAGAAACTGAAAAATTGCCATTTTTAGAAATTCTTTTTCTTATAAAACCCCTACAAAGAGATGAATATTCGTCCGTACAATTAACTTCGTAAAAATTTTATAATTTCTCTTTCAACTTTCCATGTTTTATTAGAGAATACAGTAAATGCAATCGGTTGCCGTTATTTCAATTTAAATTTAATAACAAACGCGAGTTAGTGTATGGAAATTGTCACCATAGAGGCAATAACTTCATGTCTCAATAAAAAAATTTATAGAGAAAGGAGAACAATTAACTAGCAGTTTTAATGAATACAATTAAATGAATTATGGATTAAACTTCATGAATTTGTGTGTAGTTCACAAGTATACGAACTCTACCCCAACAAGTTCCTTCAGCTCGATGAAAATCGCGTCTACGTCTTGAACACGCTCTTCAACCTCCCGGAGACGTACCTAATCGCCTGCCTCATTGATTTCTTCACAAATTCGCCTCAGTACACCCGAGAGAAAACAGGAGTAAAGGAGGGAGAGCTCACTATGAGTTTCAAGAGTATCTTCCAGGACGTGAGGAACGCAGTGGACTGGATCCACATTCACGGGGACTTGAAATCAAAAACCACTGAGAATCTTGAGGAGTACGTGAAGAAAGACGAACGTCTTCCCATGTTCCTCCGGAGGATAAGAGAGAGTGGGGCCAAGGTCTTTCTTCTTACAAATAGTGACTATGTCTTCACTGACAAAATCATGACGTATCTCTTTGATTTTCCTTATGGCGCACGACCTGACGAGCCGCATAGCGACTGGAAAACTTATTTCGATACTATCGTCGTCGATGCCAATAAACCATTGTTCTTCGGGGAGGGAACCATCTTGCGGCAGGTGGGTCATCATTAGTTTTAATCAATGGATGAAAATGAAATTGAATTTTCACTAAAATGAGTAATACCGAAAGCAACGATATCCTTTGGATATCTCTAGTCTCTGAAAGAATTCACATATCTCTTTTACGTTCAGAAATATTTCTCGAAAACTCAACTAGAGAACAAGTCGACTTTTCAAACTATCCATCAATTATTGTTTTAGATTTTTATGGAAAACTATGTGAAATATTTAGAAATTAGGGAAGACTGTGGTGAATTTATTAGCAACAATTCAATTACCACGATTTATTTTTTATTGAGTGAAATTTACAATTTTATAAATTCATTTCTTCGATCTGAAGAATTCATGAGGATGCGTTAAAAATTCACGAGCGAAGTAGTATAAGGATACGTGGAATTCTATATTTTCCATATTTGAATTCGGGTATTTCGATTGATTTAAATTATCAACTTGCTACGAATTGATAATAAATTTGGCATTTGCTTGGTTAGACTGAGTTCTGCGAATAATTGACTGTTTTTAAATGTGCAATTCGGTAGTGGAGTAGTTAAGAAATAAATAGAATTAAATATTTTTTTGTACTTGACAGGTGGACACAAGAACTGGAGCCCTGAAATTGGGAACACACAAGGGTCCCCTCCACACAGGTGAAGTTTACTCCGGAGGATCCTGTGACGTATTCACAGAGATGATTGGAGCCAAAGGAAAAGATGTTCTCTACATTGGTGACCACATCTTCGGAGACATCCTGAAAAGTAAGAAAATCAGGGGATGGAGGACATTTCTGATTGTTCCTGAACTCGTGCAAGAGCTCCACGTCTGGACTGACAAGTGCCAGCTATTCGCCGAACTGCAGAATCTCGACGTTATGCTTGGGGAGATGTACAAGAACCTCGACAGCAGCACAAAGGAAAAGCCTGATATCTCGAAACTCAGGGCTTCTATCAGAGACGTCACTCATAAAATGGATCTGGCTTATGGTATGATGGGGTCATTGTTCAGGTCTGGAAGCAGACAGACCTTTTTTAGTAGTCAAGTCGTGAGGTACGCTGATCTGTATGCAGCTACGTTCCTGAATCTCATTTATTATCCCTTCTCGTACATGTTCAGAGCTCCTGCCATGCTGGTAAGCCTTCCTCATTTTGAATTTCATATTGATTATCTTGCAAATATTCTTCGACCTCGCGGGGGGCGTTACAATTTTCATTATATACTAGTCCGGGCCCTAGCTACTTTACATATAATTAAATCCAATCAGTTTAATGTTTATTAAAAAATTGAATATTTGATATTTTTTGGATAATTATGATTTCCTCCGAAAACAGAAAAATTGAACTAAAGTTGAAATTTAGATAAAATACGAATATCACATTTTTACGTTCAAAAGCCGTAAAAATGACATAGATCATCTTTTTTATGGCTTACTTAATGGCCTTTCATATCACTATACAATATATTACCTCAATAGGAAAGGAAGAGACAAATCATTCTGAAAGCGGAAAAACCACGAGCGTTACGGACAAATCATTCACTAATGAACTCTTAAAATTCTCTTAAAATATCGAGGAATTTCCTAATCCAAAATTAACATTTCACAAAAAAAAAAACGGGGGAAACAGTAAATTGTGAATCAAAATGTATTTCATCGGTTCGGGTCCTAAGTGAATGTAGATAACAATGCCCTAAAAATAAGTAGTCAATTTTCAATGAAATCTGATTTTTTCGCGACACTGTAAGAATAAGAATGCAAGTGTAAGAATTTTTGAATGTTACTCGACCATTTGAATGATTTGCCAATGGAATTTCAGATGCCACACGAGAGCACAGTGGCACACGAGCAACGTTTCGTAATGGAGACCCCAATGATAAGCAGAACAAGGACATTCAAACTCTCGTACGAGGATGAACTGCAGAATCACCCAGCAGCCGTAAGTATTTATCCAACGTGCAACTATTTATTATAAACCAGAACTTATCCTTGGTTTCGTCGGTATTTTACGTTTTTTAATTTATTTTATTTGATTTCTCTCGGATTCAGAAAGCCCTGGAGGTTGAAAATAATGTTCTAATTCCCCATGCGAGACCAGAAACCCCTCGTAATGTGACTCACACGCACGACGAAGACTGCAGCGACGAGGACAGCGACTCCCAGAAGCTGAATTCACGAAAGTCTAGCAACAGAAAGTCCAGCTGTAACTAATGCACCCTGAGCTATCGTTAATTTTTCTAGAATCTAGATTTTTCGACTAGTGGAACCACAAAAGTGAGACTGAGATAGCAAAACCAAGTTTCTTGATTATGAAAATTAATGAAAATAAGTGAATAGCTCATTTTCTGTCTGCGTGGCTCCACTGGACCATCCGTCAGCAATTTTAATTGTCTGGTTTTTTTTTCTCCCTTTGAATATCTCAATTCACTCAAATTATCGACGTGCCAGTTATTGATGAGAGATTTTGGATTTTAATGGTTAGATTGAGGTTTGTGAATGATTTATCAGGTGAAAGTATATGTTTTCAACTTGTCATCATTGAAATCCAAAATTATCTCAATTATTTTTTTTTAGTGTACATAAGTTGACGATCGCTAGACGATCCCTTTTCCAAAGTACAACGAATGATTAGTCTTTTTATTCTAGTTCAGCCACTAGACGTAACTTTTAATACAAAGAGCATCTTCTGATGATGAATAAAATTGCAAATTGAAGGGTTTGACGTGCCTAATTAAATAATCAAAATTCTATTCGGTTTTTACATCCAGTTGTAGACTCAATTGCTCACGTTGTCACGTTCAAGCCGACAATACTAACGGATTAAATTGTATTTAGGCCTTTAGGTAGGTGATACGATAATTAAATATTACAAATATTCGTTGGATATCCTCATTGCAGTTATCGAGGGTAAATGAGATTTGATGAGTGAAAATTTTCTTTTTTGCGTTATGATGAATTAGTTATCGCACAAATTGTTGAATTAATAATGAAAAGTTCAGTACTCTATTGAAATTCAGAATGAATTATCGAACCTACAGATTTTTTTAGTTCCTTTTTGTAGAGTTTAACAAATTCTGTAGTGAAATTTTCACGTAATTATTGCACAACGTTAACGTTACGTTTGGAAAGTAAGAATATCCGACCAATCAATGGATCAACGATTAGTCACTGATTTCTTGGTGAAGATGGATTTTAAGTGCATTATTCTCGTATTAAACTGTACAATACCCCAGGACTTGTATAGAAAATACCTTTTATTTTGAATAAATTAATATATTGAATATAATGTAAGTTTGTAGAAGAGAGGAAGAATTACTTATTTGTTTTGATGAAATAAATTGTTTATAGGAAAAGATCGGCGAGGTACTCTTCAAACTCTTCCTCTCGAGATTTCTCAACTCCTTCCACAGGTTTTCCCTTCCATATATTGGTGTCATCTGTCTCAGATGACTGCGAATCCTCGGGTTTATCACCGTTTTCAGCCACGACTTTAATTGCAGTTTCAGTTCCAGGGGATTCATTTGAGCTTGAACTGATTTGTGATTTATCTGGAGAGGTTCCTAATCTCTTCAGAGCCTTTTGACGCTTTACCTCTCGTTTTTTGGTTTTGTAGTTTAGCTTCTCCGAACATTCCGGACATAATCCTGAAAGAAAATTCATTTTATAGAATATTTTGTAGACATTTTATTGAAATTTCACTTTGGAAATTATATGGAAGATACTTCAACATACTCAATTTGACTAGTGCATTTTTCTTTTCTCCGTGCTCTTCGTATCCAAAATTCACTTCCCAGGACCTCAATCCATCTTTAACATTACATTTCTTGTTCCCACATTCAAATTGTCCCTTTCCCACGACTACCTCTTTCTCGGTTCTCCATCGAAGAGCTACCTAGATAAAAAATATCAATTCAGAATGATAATTCATCCTTGTTAAACCAAAAATCGAAGAATTCCGCAAGAAAAGGGTAAAGTGATGTAATTTTTGCTATTAATAATCGATTTACTCGAAAACTATCGATTGAAAGTGAAAACATTCAAAGGATTTTCCTGCAGTTAATTAAATTTCAGAGAAATAGTAGTTCTCCATATTTCCTCAAAAAATCACTAATTTACCAAATCAATCGCTATTTATTAAAAAATCACAAGTATCGACTCCATTTCACTCTACTTCTTCATTACTGCAATGAACGTCTAGATAATTTGTGTTCAAATTCTATTCCTTCCTCCAACAAATTCTGTGAGATATTCGTTAATGATACAATAGATTTGGATTTTTACGTTGAGATTCTGCTCTTGAGATTTTTCCGTCAAAATAATTAAACATGGATGTTCAAATGACTTAATGTAAAAAAAATCCACAAGTGGGTATTCTTTTCGATAAAAGCAATTGACAAGAATTTTTAGAGAAAGCTCAGTATACCTTGTTGTGCTTGTAATAACTCAAGTCACAGATGCAATACTCCTTGAACAACTTATCATAATACTTTCTGGCAAGACGATTCTCCCAGGTGTCTGCCACCTCCTCGTCCTCCCAGAGGAATCGGTGATTTTCTCGGATGACGTCATGATCGGTCTTATCCCGGGACCTCGAATCATTCAAGAGCTGTTTGAGTCACGTACATTTGATGTAAATTTCGACACCAAATCACTCTGAATCACAAACAACCCCGATAAGCCGGATTGCGTGGTGGAGAGTGAATGTGTCGATTTATTGGTAGTGGTTGATGATTTCTACATACGTGTCTCGTCTGAGGCTATCCAGGGATTTACCGCTGAGCAGAAGGTAATCATTTATGAGCTTCTTGTGTCTGTCGTAGCCTGAGAGATAAGCGTAAGCAGGGAACATTTTATTTTACTATTATGACGAGTGACGACTGGGATGCAATGTGCAATCGACGAGGACTTTTCTTACTGTTCGTCCTTCAGTTTAGAATCAGCTGTTTCACTGACTGCACTCACACACTCTTATAGCTTGGGCGGTATTTTATGTAACGTCAGTTATTATGGTATGCACCTCACCAAATTTCCGGATTTGAATTTGAAAATAGCACATTTTTAGCGTTCGATTTGATTTTTTGATTTTCGGGGTAAGAGATATTTGGGTAGCTTCTTAGTCAGAGTTTGTATTGCTACATCTCTTGAACGGTGATGTGGGTGTCCTGAGGAAGACTAAGTTAAATTAAATTACCTGATATGGAAATATTCATTGTACGATAACAATACGTAAAAAATAATAATACGTGAACTTCCAGGAGAATTAATATATCGACCATTTGATGTAAAAGTCTTCCTCAGCATACTTAGAGTAAAGTGGAGAAAATCGAGAATATTGGGAAGCTAAGGTTGGAAGTCTTCAACACCGAAAAATAATGGGGGAACATTGAGAAAGAACATTTTAATTATGTCACCCGAATTTAATTAAATAAGTAATTAAGTGTCGAAAGTTTTAGCACAAAGTTGTCACTCCATTTCTCATCCATGAAAAAAATTTTAGCTCAGACAAGCACATTTGTCTCTTGTCTTTTCACTCCAGGAAAATGCTTTTCGTTTCTCCACTACAACGCCTAAGAGTTCTTCAGAGGAGCACCGTGAATCGAAAGCTGAGTGATTTTGTCAGGGTAGTAGAAGTGGGTCCTCGAGACGGTTTGCAGAACGAAAAAACTGTGGTCCCTACCTCGACGAAGATCTCTCTCATCAACAGGCTATCCTCGACTGGTCTGAAAACCATAGAGTCAACGAGTTTTGTCTCGCCAAAATGGGTGCCGCAGATGGGGGACAGCTCTGAGGTCTTTACCTCGATCACGAAGGCTCCGGGGGTTTCGTACCCGGTGCTGGTGCCGAATCTGAAGGGTTTAGACGCAGCGATCTCATCAGGAGTGAAGGAGATCGCAGTCTTCGGTGCTGCCTCCAATACTTTCTCCATGAAAAACATTAACTGCTCCATCGAGGAAAGCCTCATACGCTTCCAGGAGGTGGCAAAGGCGGCCTTAAAGGCTGGGATCAGGGTCAGGGGGTACGTCTCCTGCATAGCAGGTTGTCCGTACGAGGGCGAGGTCAAGCCCTCGGTGGTCGCGAGGGTCTCGGAGTCGATGCTGGAGGCAGGATGTTACGAAATTTCTCTCGGGGACACCATTGGCACTGGCACTCCTAGAATCATCACCAACGTCCTCAACGAGGTGAAGACAATCTTCTCCCGGGATCTCACCCTCTTCGCCCTTCACTGTCACAATACCTACGGGCAGGCTCTCGCTAATATCTTCACAGGACTTACTCTCGGGGTCAGGGTGTTCGATTCCTCTGTTGGAGGACTTGGAGGCTGTCCTTATGCTGCTGGAGCATCTGGAAATGTTCCTACGGAGGATCTGCTGTATTTACTTCAAGGGGAAGGGTTACAAACTGGTGTCGACTTCGAGAAAATCGTGGAGATTGGTGAATGGATCAGCAAGCAACTTGGGAGAGATAATCAGTCCAAAGTCGGAGTTGCTTTAGCTTCTCGGAGGAGGTGATTTTTACAAACGTACAAATTCAAGAATTTAATGGCAGATGTGCACACAACGTTAAATATATTACTCTCCAAGTCAATCACTTTTTCCACCAATTGCTGGTAAAAATGAAACCTGGTTCGATCGTTTTTTTTTTCAAAAGGCGTTTATTTTTAGGCAGAACACTCGTTAAAAAATATCATTCATCAGTTCATCACATTCCCCGATGAACACTCTTCTTTTTAAATATCCTTGAATAATATACATATATTTTTTGGAAACGTTGAAGGCGTTTTTACTTGACTTCATTTTGGAAACTTTCGTCTGATCTCCATGGCGATGAGCATGGGGTGTTGAACTACGAGATGTTGGAGAGCTCCTGCAGGATTTCCTGAGTGTCCAGAGCATTCAGGTCTATCGAGGCACGTGTGTCAATTATTACTCCAGTCACCTGTGCCAATAATCTTTTAAATTAGATCACTAGAATTTACCGAGTTATATTGAGTTATATTTACAGTGTATTGATAAACTGGGATAAGTGCATTTAATTTAGTTTTAATTCTCAATAGGTATATAATATGTTCTGAATGAAGAGAAATATCGAAATTTAGATATCAATCGTTTTTTTTCCGAATGGAAACATGGGATTTTTTCGAATTAAATTCTGTAGTTTTAGTCTGAGGGGCCCATCAGGATCCACAAAGTCGGGAAATAGATTCATTTCCCTAAGAATTCTAGTAAGAGTGTAAAATCTTGTTTTCAATGATTAAATGAATAGAAAAATTACTCTTATAAAAACCCACCATCTCCTCGAAGAAGTCCATGTGGTTGGGTTTCTCGGAGTACCGCTCGTACTGATCGAGGTTGTCCTGGAGCTTGAGCCCTAGGGTATCGTAATTCTGGATGATGATGGCCATGATCTGCTGTTCAGTGGGTGTAGAGAGGCTCTCAGCAGCAAGCCACGCAGCGATTTTTGGTGGAAAATGGTTGACAATGTCTCTCATGTTGACGAGGCAATTCATGAGCTTGAGGGCATGCTCCTTGTACTCGTAAGCGTCCATCGTCGAGTAACGGAGGGCCATGGCGTTGAGATTAGTGAATATCAGTCTCATCCTGATGATCTCGTAGAAGAGTTCATCGTAACTGCTGGGGAGGGAGAGAAAGGTGTCCCCATAGGTAATGAATAGGTTGAGAATGTTGACGACTTGGATGGCCAGGGGGAAGACGTTCATCTTCTTGACGAGATGGGCCTCGTGGGTCGTCAGAAATTTCAGAAGATTGAAAAGAGCTGTCCACAGGTCTTTCCAGTGGTATCCCAGCCTCACTCCACATCTTTTTTGGTAGCAGAGGAGTCTCTGGAGGACACCAATGCATTGGTGGTACAGCTCGAGGGGGAATTTCTTCATCATGTGTGAAGTGATGAATTCGACGAGGAGATCTAGCAGAGTTGCTGCCAGGGGCTGGGTTGGTGCTGCCTTGTCGTGGATCTTTCTGTGGTGCATTGGCACTCGGTGCAGCTGAACTCTAAAGGCTAGATTTGCATCGTGCATCAATGAATTGGCGTATTGGTCCTCAGCGATGCAACTCAGGATGAGGAAGCACAGCTTTACGTTGTTCAGAATCGCTTCGGTTCTGATCACCTGCATCACTATTGAGCAGTACTGCAGGAACGTCGCCAGGAGATTGAAGGGCTGTGTTATGATGTCTGGGGGTTGAGTTGGAGCAGTGGCATTTGGGCCCAGGGTGTTGTTAGGAGAGGGCGGAGCTGATGTGTCACTCTGAGTGAATGCCAGGGTTGTTACGAAATTTCGGTTCAGGTGTGTCGCCTCGTACAGGGCTAACAGCAACGCGTTGTTGGCCCGCACCTGCTGATTGTTGGCTTCTTCTTCACCTGGAGTTTGGATTTTTTTATGGGAACTTGCACACAGAGAAAAAGTTTCTTCATGTTAGAAAAAAAATCGTTATTTCAAGAAGAGAAGAGAAGATTCCAAACTTAGGGAATGTTCTCTTATAGGTAGAGGATTTTTTTTTTGAATATGCAAAACGTTTTTTTCTATTTAGAAATTTGTTTTCTATTATCATATTTCTTGATGGTAGAAAATAAATTTCTAGACTCGACAAAAAATTTTATAGAATTCAAGACAAAGGTTGTAGAATCAACAGTTAGGTTTTTGTGCATCTAGATTTTTTTTTCTAACACCAAGGAACTAGAAAAATATGCAGTTTACCAGCCACCATGGTGGATGAAAAGAATACATTTAACAGTCAATAACTTCTGATGATTTTTCGGTAAGCTTGGCAAATCCCTTTCAATCAATCACTTCGATGTGCCACCTCTCAACAATTCTTTCTTATTATTTCTTCTTATTTTTTATCATTATTTTTTTACAACTATTGAAGTAGTTTCTGTGACACAATTTGAAACTCAAATTTACAAATATTTTAGGCTAACAAGATAAAATTCAACCGAAAAATTACGTTCAATAGATAGTACGCGCGGGCGTGAATACAAATATTGAAGAATCATGCGTACTTAAGATATTCCGAGTTTAAATTAATTCTCGCTCATCGAAAAAGTGTCAATTTACGATAATTGGAAAAAAAATTGTCATGATTCTGAATACTCGAGTTATTTGTACACTGTACCTATAAACATGCTCCCCACCATGCTGGTGAGAGAAGACAGCCACGAAGTTTGTACTTCTGCTTTCTGCTGAACGAACAGCCTGCAAAAGTCAGTAAGTGAACTGGATATGACTTGTCCATATCCATTAAGCGCCAGCTCATCATCGAGGATTGACAGCTTGACAATGTGTGGATTCGTGCTCTCGTGCTTTCTGTAGTTGACTAGGAGAGTTAGAAGTAGAACAGCATCGTTTCCATGTCGATTACGTGAAGCAGTTGAGCGGAGGAGTTGTATTAGAGGCTCGAAGACACCGTTGACCATCACGTGCTCCAGGAGGGGATTCTGATTGAGGTTGTCCATGCCAGTCGTGATGATCAGCAGGAGCTTGAGGCACAGAGCTTTTAGACTGTCTGGATATTCACCTGTGAGGAAATTATTGCAGTGGTGCATCAGAGTCGTCATTCTCTGGTCTGCTGTGTCGAAGAGGGTGTCAATTAAGTTGAAGTCACTGTCCAGTTGACTAGCTTTTTTGTACATTGACTGGATCACTGCTGACAGCGTCTGCAGGGCGTACACAACTCGAAAAGGGTGTTCGTCCACCAGAGTGTCTACGCAATGACAAACCAGGGAATTCAAGTTGGACTTGCACATCTGCAACTGCTCGCTCGTGAGGCGGAGAACTTCGATCTCGATTTGAGGTACCTGCAGTCAGGAATTATGCCACCTAATATTCTGTCATTGATTCTATTTTTACAGCTTAATACCAGTTCCAAAATTAGCTATTACTTTTATAATATTTTTCGAATATTATAGATAATATAGTATAATTGTAAATTTAATTTATTTCACTTCAGTAATTAGCTACTGAATTGTCTATTTTGTATTTAGAAACTCCAAATTAATTAACTCTGTTTTTATTCTTTTTTAAATACAATATGTCGACACATGAAGTTTCTTTTTTATATTTACAATTGAGAAATAAATGGATTAGCTGGAGTAGCTCTGGGAATTGTAAGAAAAAAGAATTGTATTTTCCGAGGAAAATGCTTACGATTCATTAATAATCAAATGAGATTTTTTAGTTCGAAAAATATTTGAAGTTTCAATCAAAATAATAACTGCATTTCTACATAACAATTGACATGTGAAGAACTATTAAAATCTTGGTTATCTTATGACATAAGTGCCGAAGGGTTAGGATGTATCATGTCGTTTGGCAAGATTATGTGCAAAATTATTCAGGTAACACTCTCTTATCTTTTACAACCTCTTCTAATCCCCTCATCCTCGATTTTCAGTCAATCCCCTCCTGGGAGATGACGAAATACTACGGTCGAGTCTGCCTCTTCCAACTGAACTGCATAAAATATCGGATCCAGACGAGTGAGGCTTGGTTCCTCCTCAAAAACAAATTTATCCCCCACAAAATAAAATATGAGGAGAAGCCCGAGAAAAAACCCAGTCCTGATACCCAGAAAATTCGCCAAAAAGTCTCGAAAATCAAAACCTCCAAGGACAAGAAGAAATAGAAGTAATTTAACAATTTATCTTCGTTACCATTGGTTTGATGAGGAACAATTCATTCCAGAAATTAGGGTGAGACTGTGTGAGGTCCTCTCCACCAAAGAGACTTTCGTAGATAGGCACCAATTTGCCTTTGTGTTGGCGTTTGGAGCCGGACCCACTTCGCTTCCTCATTGCCATTATTTCTCAACTATCTTAGAATCCTCAGCTGTTAATCACCATCTCTATCTGAAAAATTATTAAAGATAATATGAAGGAAGTTGTGACCAGCATTTATCACTTGATGATTTCCACGATCTTCAAGTCCAGTGAAATCCCAAACATTTGACTTTTAAAAAATGTTTAACACACGTTGGAGTTTTTTCAAAGAATATTAAATATAAAACAAGTAGTTTTTGAGATACTCTTAAAAAAACGATTTTTAGAGAAATCGGTGTATCTCGAAACATTCTTGACCGATCAATCTTAAATTTCGGCCAGAGGAGCACCCACATAATGGCTATTACTCCACGAAATTTCCGATTTTTAGCTTCAACTTTTTTTTTGAAAATGGGAAAACCCGTACACACCCACATTTCCCTGAATCTTTTTTCCCGCAAAAATAGAAAATCGAAAAAAAAAAATCAATTGCAAAACTTCCAATCGGGAGCAATCAGTTCAGACATTTTTTAATATTCGTAACTCAACAATAATTTCAGTGGAGAAGTGGTAAAGTAAAACGATTGCAATTTTCCAGTTTTGTTGGAGATCAATTGATATGCAAAACTTGATTTTAGAACAAACTATGTAAAGCCCTTTCTTGTAGGATATCTAAACAATGAAAAATCTCTGGTTGGCTCCCTCATAAGGCACCATAATTGATAAAAACAGTCTAGAATCCATTTTACCTCACCTTCTAATTAATCATCTTCAAACCTCGCTCGACGAATTCATCCTGTAATTATAAAGACTCAGTAAGAACTCTGGACTCATACAGATTCGAATGACTCGCGAAAAATGCATAAATCACAATAGATTATGCATGAGATTCTTAAGAATATTAACTAAATGACTTCCTAGGTTAGAATATTCTGATTGCACTTATTAACGCAATTAATTAAGCTCACCTTATAAAAATCCCTAGTTCAGTTAAATTACTGAATAATCCAGGTCGTGCACGTTTAATCAACACTCGTATCTATAAATGCGGTGCTATAATCTATTTTTGACGTGTCATGAAGTCACTATGCTCGGTTGTTGACCGGAATAATCCTCGATTTTCTCAAAACAAGAATGACACACCGCCATTGATGCCCAATATAATGGAATATGTACTCTTATACATAAATCACTAGATCACACTTGTCACACTTGTGGTTGGTATGTGGATTACGACAGACTATGATAATGATGATAAGAATAATGAAACGTAAAACGTACGTAATTTTTGGGGACCAGTGGTGCTCTGACAGCATCAGCCATTGGTCGTGTTCAATAATTCATGGTACTCCCTCCATTTTTCAAAGTGGAGCTTTGTTGCTGAGTTTGGAACGTACAGGTGGTAAACTGGTGATTTGTTGTTCTCGTGGATTCTTCTTCTGATTGGTGTGGTTATATGCTCACAGCATAGCTGGGGCAAACAATATAATGCTCTCGGTGCTCAGAATCTCCAGGATAGCTCAAGACAGGTGTAAATATTTTAGGTAAGTCATTTATAAATTGGATGCATAACTGACACGTATCATCAAGAAATATCCATCTATCTATCGAATTTATAAATTCAACTGGAGAAGTTTATACTGAGGAGAGTCATCATTTCTTACAAATAAACATAGTTTTGAGACTATATAATCAAATTTATTAATTAAGGCTCGGGTGGACTATCTAGAAAAGATAATTTACTCCGAAATTCGGATTCCTAATTACTTTGGCAACTAATCGTTTTTTTCAATAATTGTTAGCTAGTGTTCTAGCGGTTGTCAACAACTAAGCCGCTAGCTAACAATTATCGGAAAAAACGATTAATTGACGGAGTAATTGGAAGTCCCAATTTTGGAGTAAGTTATCTTTTTCGGACAGTTCATTCGGGCCTTAAATGCATATCAGAACCTCTCCATAAAATCTGCTTTTAAATTTTTCTTTCAAATTAGTTTGTGGAATGAATTAAATTTTATTGGTAGAAATATGTTTTGTATTTTAACTTCTGTAATACCTTGTGGCGAGGGTCAATAGCCTTTTGATGGATGAGAGGAGTATAATAATTTGCAGATGGAAAGCATTACTGGGTCCTTAATTATCGATTTATTATGCCTCGAGAATCCATAATATTATTGATGACCTGACAGAGAAAATATTCGATTTCATCATTTCAATAACATTCAACCTTTTTCATCACTTTGAGTTATCTCTACAAAAATGATCATGATAAAAATTTCCATACGAGTCCTAAATTATGTGATATTCATTGAAAACAGAGGAAAAGTGAAAACAAACTAGATGGTTTTATCGCCTTGATACTAAATTGATTAATCTATTTGTGTTTTCAGAGCCCAAAAATTTCTCAGGACAATTACGAGTGATCCCACGCATAACCGGTGGTGGAACAGAGAACGACAGAAATCAGAGAATTCTAAAACAAATGTTCCAAAATTTTTGAGATACTGTGGAGCTTTTTTGATTGCTGGAGGATCTCTGGGGGTTTACTACTATTTCAGATCAGGAAAAAGCCAAGTGTACGCGTTGGAAAATATTCCTGGAGTGCACAAAGATGGATTGAAGAACTACACTATCGAGGAGATAGGGAAACATGATAATGAGAAGGACGGGATCTGGGTTTACTACAAGGATGGGGTGTACGACATCACAAGATTTGTTTCTCAGCATCCTGGAGGATCAGGAAAGATCATGATGGCAGCTGGAGGCTCGATCGAACCATTCTGGCTGATCTTCGCTAATCATAACATCCCGGAGATTCATCGTCTGTTGGAGTCCATGAGAATTGGTAACGTCGATACAACTGGCGAGGAACAATCCAAGGAGGAGGTGTACGATCCTTACGGGGACGAACCCAAAAGGCATAAGGCTCTCAAGGTCAACGGACTTAAGCCCTTCTGCGCCGAGCCACCAGCTTCAATGATGGTTGAGAGCTTCCTCACGCCATTGTGGGTTATATTTTTAAAAAATACACTTCTGAAACTAAAAACTAATTATTTTTCCAGCAGAACAATTAATATCATAATTTCTCCTTTAGCTTATTCTAAAAATGTCAACTCCATTTGATAGAATATTCCTGTGACAGTTGAGATCGGTGGAAAACGGGCAGGGTAAAACAGACGCCGTCAAATTTTTCGCTCTTTTCCCGATTTCTCAATTTTGTCCTTTGCATAATTTTTTTTATTTGAATCATGAAAAAAAATCGCAGCATTAAATTAAATGCTGATATGAATAATAGAATACTATAGGACATAGACGTTGCTATATAGATCGTGCTTGGATAAATGAAAACTGAGCGGCCACAATTTCAAATTTTCAATTAGGAAATTAATGAATATTCAAATGAATTTGGAGAATGTCCATTTTGCACCAATCCGCCCTACATAATGTAAATTAATGTACAGCTTCTACTCTCATGCTTTTCAGTGATCGAATGAATTAATTCAAATTATTGATGGCCACATTGATCCTTCGCAGAGACCTCTTCTACGTGAGAAATCATCTGCCAGTTCCAAGAGTAGATCCGAACGACTATGATCTTGAAATCGCGATTGAAGAGGACACGAAAAAAGTTTTGAATCTCGAATCAATAAAAAAGTATCCAAAATACACAGTGACAACTGCCATTATGTGTGGGGGTAATAGAAGATCTGAAATGAATGCTGTGAGTATTTATTCTATCATTTTTTTTAATACAAAATTCAGAAAACTTACACACTAAATAAATCTCGAACATGTCATGTAGTTAAGAGATTATTATGCAGAAAAATTGAATTTCACAGATGATTTTTAGTAATGCAACCAAAAATTAATTAAATTGTTTTTTTGGCATTGGAGCAAAAAATTCATACAGATTTTTCGCAGAATTTTAATAGAGAATAAAATTTCTTAGAGAAAAAGCAAGACTTGTCAATAAATTCTTTTCATACGGGGAACGGTGTAAGTTTTATTTTTAAAGGGAAAGTCAAATGAAAAATGAAAATTCTAGGTAAAACCATTACGAGGACTGAGTTGGAACGTGGGGGCAGTTGGGAACGCCTCATGGTCGGGGGCTCGTCTCTCCGATGTTTTGTCAGACCTGGGGATCAACGAGGACGACTGGGCCCACGTGCAGTTCGAGGGCCTAGACTTGGACCCTTCTGGAGTGCCCTTCGGGGCCAGCATCCCGATCAGGAGGGCTCTTGACCCCAAGGCAGACGTAATCCTTGCGTATGAAATGAATGGCGAACCCCTCCCTCGAGACCACGGTTTCCCTGTCCGAGTGATAGTTCCCGGAGTTGTTGGTGTTAGAAATGTAAAGTGGTTGGCGAGAATCATCATTTCAAAGGAGGAGAGTCCCTCCCAATTCCAACGGGGGGATTACAAGAGCTTTTCTCCCAGCACTGACTGGGACACTGTTGATTTTTCAAAAGCCCCTGCCATCCAGGATATGCCTGTGACTTCTGCTATCTGCAATATTTCACCTGGGGAAACTGTTCGACTGAAAAATGGAAAACTCAACGTCAAAGGTAATCAGCGAGCTGAAATTTCCTTTTGCAGGCGGAATGTGGTTCAATGAGATAATTTTCGTTTTTTCGAACTTTATCTTGTTAGTGTAAAATATTTCTAAATTTAGGTTTCAAATTGAGTTGCACTACAATGATTATAAAAAAATGATAAACAAGTTATCGGTCAAGTCAGAAACAGACAATAATAAGACTTTGAATTGAACTTTTAGTTCTTTTTTATTCTCTTCAAAAAAGAAAAACTTTACATAAGTTTAATCCACGGGTTAAACCTACACCCTAAACGTTACACTAACAACATATAATCAAAATGGGCTGTCAATCATGCTACTGATATCAACTGAATATTTTTGATTACTTTTTTTTTATAATTATTGGAGTGTTTTACGCGATAAAATTAAACTTCCAGATGTGAAAATATTTGTCGCTAAAAAGATGAAATTGAAAGCCAAGTTTACGTTCGATAGATGCGTACATGCCTGAAATCGAAAGGAATTGATTGTAGGAGGAAATATTGAGATGTTTTTTCTTATAAGAAATACAATCAGCTATGAACGACGTCTTTTCATATTTCACCATTTAATCAATACGTTTTCTGCTAAATCAACACTAATTTCAATTTGAGAATAAATTAACGAGAGAGATGTATGACAAAAATCTGTGTTTAAGAACAAACTATTTGTTTTATTAAGACTTTATTGCGCGATTTCGTAATGTAAACTCAATTGCAAGTGTGTTTATTTTAGTCTTGCAAGAGTTATCTGGAAGAGGTATTAAATTTATCGAAGTGATCTCTTCACTCAGGTGTATCACAGTGTGTGATTACATCACAATATTTAAGCAGCGCATATTTGTTCTGCAATTTCAGGATATGCTTGGTCAGGTGGAGGAAATAAGATAATTCGTGTCGACCTCACAGCAGATGAAGGGAAGACTTGGCACGTGGCGGAGCACATTCAGCACGATCCACAGGCGAAGGAGGGACGGCATTGGGCATGGAGTATCTGGAGTGGAGACATTCCAGTGGATCCCAATGCCTCTGAGGTGGAGATATGGGCTAAAGCTGTTGACTCCTCTTACAATGTCCAGCCAGAGAGCTTTAATAATATTTGGAATCTCCGAGGATTGCTCAGCAATGCATATCACAGAGTGAAAGTCAAAGTTCAGACGTGATTTGTTAATTTAGAATCATTTTCACATCAATCAGTCTCAGTGGTTAGTAAAAAACATCATTGCAAGATCAATGTTTTTTATTATATTGAACTAATGTATTTTCTCGTTTTCCTTTTTATTGCACTATACGAATAAGGAAAATAACTATTTCGCTATTTCCATTTTATGAAATACAATATGATAAGGGAATCATTAATTTTGCAATATTTTAAGCAACTTTCTAAGTCATCTTTTTATGTTTAAAATAATGGTAGAAGATTAATAGTTTTTGTTCTCATTACCGGATTTTATCAAGAGGAAATGAGAAAAATTGAGGGATGGTCAGTATGATAATGGAAAAATCAATGTTTAATTTTTATGGAAACTGTAAAAACCCATTTTTTTGCAATAACAAAATCATATTCATATTTTTTCTTTCTACGACTCTTATTTCAATTGAGAAAAGTGAGTAATTACGCTTTCATTTGGAAATTTCGATGAAATCTTATCGACAATTGTATTCAAATATTTGCTTTTCACCTAATCGTATGAATGTGGAATAAATAAAGAAAGCCGTAATAACAATTATATCAATAAACATGGCTATGGTAATTAATTTCATCCGTATAAGATTGAATCTATCATTTCAAGATCTGATCAAATTCAACTGAAGTCGGATATTCGGCGAAGGGCCCCAATCTTTCCTATACATCGATACGTCATCGAAGTATTTCATAATATTTTTCCTTCAGTTATTATGGAAGAAATAATTTTTGAAGCAACTTGGAAATTAACTAAACTGATAAATGAATGGAATTTTAATTTAGATCGGCGGCCAGGACTTGACAGTATTTACATATGAGAAAAAAAAGCAGTCCATTCCACTGATGCATTAAGGCCCAATGGGAGATGAGATTTGAAAGATAAATTCCCCAAATAACAATTGGATTTTCTAATTTTTTTGAGGTACAATCGATCGACATAACTCAAAAAATACAAAACTTCAATTTCAACTATGACAATGCTTCTTTCCTCCATTCGAAAGCAAAAAGTAAAAAAAAAAGACATTAGTAGGAAAATAAACATTGACGTATTTTTCAATAACAAAGCAATAGTCATTAATTTATCCTCTATCCTTATATTTTCATATTATGAAATTTTTTTAATTCTCTAAAGATTTTTCAATCCAATAAAAAAACATGATATCTTAATTCCTGATTTTAAACAGCAATTTGTGATCGTGTTGTTCTGCCAGATGCTGAATTCTCAAAGAAATTGTACAATCGATCTAAACTAACGTCTTCTCTCTCTCCTTCATTGACATCATGAAACTCAAACAAAGGGGTTTCCTGCACGGCAGACCTCCCGACGACTACAACGTAAGGATAGCCAGTTCTTCTGGCATCAAGCATTCTCCTGCCAATAGTCAGATGCGTTCTGTCATCAAAAATCACATCGATATTCCTCTCCATCAAGTTCTCTGCAATTTCATAGGCAAAGTGAGCTGCAGGGGACTCCTTACTGTTCTCCTTGGGTGGAATGATGCAGACGGTGTAGGGAGCCAGGGCTTTTGGCCACCTAAGGTCTTCATTCGTGGACAATATCTCCAGAGATGCTGCCAGTAGTCTAGTCAGGCCCAGACCATAGCAACCCATCACCAGAGGAATTTCTGACCCCTGGGTGTGCACAGTTGCTTGCAGCACTTCTGAGTATTTTGTGCCCAACAGAAAAGTGTGGCCGATCTAAAAAAAAATATTCAATCTTCTGCCAGGGGAAACAAAATAATAAAAGAAAAAATAATAATAATAATAAAATAAGGTGAACAATTCTAAAAGGTTGCCAAAATAAAGGGAGATATTGAAATTAATTGAATGGAGACACGTATATATTATGTAAAATATTTCTAAATTTGAGTATATATATATATATATTAAAAAATTTAATTTTATCAACTAAAGTGAATGTATTAGTTATTTACTTTCATTAACCATATTAAATGCATTGCTATAAATTTTATTTATCGAGTATATTTTTTTAGCATGAGTCCCCATATGATGATTATAAACGCACAAGGTACGTCTAATTGGTAGTTAGTGATAAAAAAAAATGCAAAGATTAATTTCTATTAGGTGGTAAAAAAAAATTACCTCGATAGCAGATTTTTTGGATACTTCTCCTCCGCAATTTTTACACGTCTCTCCCTGGAAAATTACAGAATTCACCTGGAAATTGCAGGCATTACACGATACAACGGTGTCCTCTCCAATATCAGCGAGATAATGATACTCGTGGGAGATGATTCCTCCCATGATTCCAGTGTCCCCTTGCACGATGGAATAGGGCACACCGATGTGATCGAGAATTCCCCTATAGGCTCGGGCGACATCCTCATAAGTCCTCCCTGCGGATTTTGCAGAGGCGTCGAAGGAGTAAAGATCTTTCATGACGAATTCTCGTCCCCTGAATAATCCCAGTCTGGGCTTCATCTCGTCCCTCCATTTGTTCGATATTTGGTACAACAACAGAGGCAAGTGACTCTTCTGAGGCTTCACGTCGGCGACTAGACTCGTTATTGACTCCTCGTAGGTCTGGAACGATCGAATTTCACAGTATCTCCAAGGTCTCTTTTTTGTTCTTTCTTCGATGACGATTTTTCACTCAATTGTCCATGATAAACTCTTGAACAATCAAATATTTTTTTAATTCAAGTTAATAAAGCATCGAGCAAGCATTTTTTTCTAATTTTCATTCACTTGAACAAGTGTTTAGGTTTGCAACTCGTATTACGTTATTCCGATTCCATTTTATTGAAGTTTTTGAGGCATATCTCTGAATTTAAGAGAGATTGTGAAATTTTGTCACAAGACATCTTTTGCAGAGTGGATTGAGAGCTGAGAGTCCACTGGAAATGCAACTAGGCGTTTCAAGGTTTTGATCGCCGCGACAAATCGAAAGTCCTCAGTAAGAATCTAAAACTCCGGAGTCAACGGTAATCGGCATTCAAATAAAAGAAAATAATTAGAGTATTATTGTGCCGGGTATCCAATGGGAATGATAGTATCTTATCGTTAATAGTAGTCGTTCAAACGCCCTAGTGAAGAGGCACGTAGTTAATAGTCAAACTGACGCGTCAATCACCCAGGTCAGCTATTCGGTTGAATTCACAATTTTTTGATCAGCTAATATCAGTTAATTATCTGGCACATCCGCCCAGTACATTAATGGGTCGATCAGACAAACAGACATTCAACAAATATCAGGAAATTATCTAATTAGTGTAAATATTGTAATTTAAGAATGTTCTGCACCCATATGTACCCAAAATTAACGTTTTTTCAGTTTTTTCGCAAACTTATTATGGGATTGACGCGAATAAATATAACGTTTTTGCGTTTCGTCATTACTTACGAAGTTTCGAGGTGGTGCGAATATTTTTTCGTGTTTTTCTTAAACTTTTAGAAAGAATCACAAAACTGTAGAGAAAATACATGAAAATGATCGTACCATCAAAAAACTTCGCATCAATTACATTCTTAATCTTCTCTCAGAGACATTTAGTAAATCGGCAACCCTTGATGCCAAATTTCCTCACGTTCTTTCATTACATCCCCATTACATCCCCATCAGAACATCACCTCACACAATTCCCGCCGCCATCCGAAAACCTCAGTTCTTCGCCAAAAAGAGTTTTAACAAAAATGCTATGCAGACAATGGTCTCTTTTAAATCTAGAGATAGTCCTCAAAATCTTATCTATCGACTAAATCAATGTGTTAAACTCTCTACTGTCTACTGAATCAAATTTGCATAATGAATGGATTCGGATTTGCGAGATTTATCGGAATTCCAACTTTCAAAAAAACAAATTCAATAGAAAAATTGGTATACCAGTTTACCGAACATTTCTTGTCATTTAAAATGAAATCAGTTGTATCTGATTTAGTCGCGTTATTTATAGAGTTATTAGAGTATTTCTTTATTTTTCACCACACAGTAGTTTCAAGGTCTCAATGAGTTGTGTAGAGAACCGTCGGATATTTTCAACTCCATAGATTTGATCAGGTGTTAATGACAGTGTATCAACGATCGTGTATCGAATTTCACGTGTTTCGTTTTCACAAATAGTCATTCTATTTAAATAAAATTCATAAGTTTGGCTGTCATCGCAAACACTCATATATTTTCCTAAACCAGCTCGTCGAATATGTAGTTTGAAATAGCAAAAAGGAAACACGACTTATACAACAGATATCTGAAATTAATTTTTTTATCGACGTCAAACGAAATTGAAGACTAAATTGAAAACTAAATTGAATTACGTGCGAAGTAACTGTTACACGTGAAGCATGCGTCTGATCAGTTTAATAAAAAAATCGATGATCTATAATCAATTGAGTAGTGAGGAGAGGAACAAATTTCATTGTTTAAATTATCATCTGGGACAGGGATATTTAAAAAATCAATGAATTTTCACAGATTATATCAACGACAACTCGTGGACATCGTCGTACAGAAATTGAAGGAACTTTTAATTCAAAAATATGATACGTTTTTTTTTACTTGCTACACCGGTCTATTTACCTTGGTTAATGAAACAGAAAGAGGATGAAACACGTGATTACTTACAGGGCTTAATACATAACGCTGCTTGTGCCTGTCTTTTACGAGAAACAACTCGTCACCCATTTCATTCAAGCGACCAGTCTTCTTCCATAATCGAGAGTCAGTTAAATTCGGCAGAACGATTTTTTGAGCTCCAATGCTCTCCATTGCAGTATTAACGATTCGTTTGAGCTTGTCAAGTGCCCGATTACCCAATGGTAGCAGTGTGTACATACCAGGAAGAGACTGTCGGATAATGCCCATGTCGATCATCAACTAAAATCAATTATTAAATATTCAAATGACTGCAGGACTTACCGGAAATAGGAGGGCAATCTCGTTAAAACTATCGCTACATTCCCAACCTGTACTCAGAGAAATTTCATTTTTCAATCTTGAATGAACTTGCAATGAATGTCGTTAAAAATATATAATAAATTGGAAGGTCTTTAAAATTACGTTTACTTAATGAATAATAACTCGAAATCGGCAGAGTTGATTTCAATTATTTTTCTTTTGTTTTGAAGTTTTTCTTTCGGACTTTGAAATAAGATATTTAGTTTGGAACGGGGCAGGTTGAGAAAAGTTAAAAAAATCGTTCTATTAAATCGGTTATCAGGACTCGTTCTCTTTTAAAAATATTATCAAGAGGGTGCCAATTTCTTGGATGTATTCCAAAACTAGAAACCTACCTGGTAGCTCTTTGAGGCATTGACACCCTTGACCGCTCCATCCTTCGGGATGGTCTTAATTGGTTGAAGGAGTTTGGACACGCGTTGCATGTGATTTATTAATTCCCGAGACATTTCTTAATATCCTAGAGGTATACGTGCAAAAACCCGGATGTTTCAATCGTTAGCACAGCTGTTTTTATGATAGATTAAGGTTAAGGAGGTGAACACAGTCAGCGCCCGATTCAATGGCGCGTAATTATAAAAACGGCGAAGAACCTGCCGATTGTCAGAAGTCAAACGGAGTTCGGAAGATCGACATCGAAGATTACAATAAATCCTGTTGGCATATTTTCATTGGATTACGTAAGTCTCATTCACAAAATAGTCCCTAGAATTTGAATAATTTATTCATTTGCCGATCAAAAACACAAACAGTCGATTTTCCGTATCGTTAAATCGCAATTATCATGATGATGACAAGGACAGCGTCTTCACGAAGAACAAGTTTTTTCCAAGATATAACAGTAATTTAAATTTAAAAAACACGAGAAATCCCTCCAATGATTTCTGAATATGTTTTCCTCAAATTTAAATCAAGTTCGAATCAAATTTGCAATTTGTTAGTGAATTTGTTGTGACGAAAAAATTTCGGTAGCTTTTCCAGTTCTTGCAGTGATTGTACCGGAAGATTTGTATAAAGTTTGCATTAAATTCACGCCAATTTACCGTTTCTTAACAAATAGGTAGTTCAAATGAATAAATATACTCTTAATGACATAGTTAGAAAATTCGAAACAAAATAGTACATTGGAGTACCAGGACCTAAATCGTTATAGAATAAATTTATTCAATTCAATCTGTAGCACTCGGAATCACATTTGTGTTTATGTGGCATCGTGCAATACGTCAAATTTATCGAACAACTTCTGCACCACTTGACATGAAATAGTATAGAGTAATCGAGAATAAATTTAATTTCCAACGATCATGAGTACAGACGATCCCTTCAGCTTGACCTGTAAATCTCTCATTCGTTGAAAGATAATTGTTTCCACTTTTATTCTAATAAATTATTGCGACTGTTCAGTAATTTCGTTAGTTACTTTAAAAACAATTTTTTTTACTTGGTAATTTTTTTTTTAGTGTTCTTTCTTGGTTACAGTTGAAGATCGTCATGGGATTAAGAAAAGTCTTGCTTTTGGTCGCTGTTGTTGGATGTTATTCTGCATTGGCTGGTGCAATACATGAGGATTTATGGCTTCCTAGAGGGTTCTGCTCCAGTACGAATAGTTGCCCGGAAAACGAGTGCTGTGCTATGCGTGAGTCTTCATTATCTTCATTATCCTGCATCTGAACAGGGAGAAATACTGAATATCAATGACGTGTCCTTTCGGTAAAATTTCCGTAGAAAAATAGCGATATAGATTTTTTTTTGAGTGTTCCGTAATTTTTATGTGGGGTATTCCATGCCAAATCGATCACTTTTGAACCCGACGCCTTTCCATCTGGTCAAAAGTTATTCATCTTTTTTTACCCCATGATGAACGTTTCTCAGAACTTTTTCAACTTGTTTTTTCCCACCCAAAAAAGTTATGAATTACAAAGAAATGGCTTTTCAAATTTCAAATAGCCATAACACTTTCAAAACTTGACCTGAATTAATTTTCCGGAAAAAACTAGAAAATCAATCAATCTGCGATTATAATGAGCAAGATTAATGTTTGTTACAGTTAGCATTCAAGGATTCAAAAAAAAATGTTTCAAATTATTTCTTAGTTTCTTCTCTGGCGTTTAAATATTTTACAAACTTGTAGTTAATTTGAGTTTAGAAAATTTCTAAAAAATATGTGAAAATAGGTTTTGAAACCTTGAGTGTTAATAACGGTAATTAATAACGAGTAATAATAACGTAAATAATAATTAATAACAAGTAATAATAACGGTTTCTCTCGAAAAAGGGGAAAATTTCGTAGAGTTTATTATCTAAGCTTTTTTTTTGTATTTTTCTCCGAAAAAATTAATTCAAAACTAAATTAAAAAAAAAAGATACCAAAAGTTCCCATTTTGAAAAAGTTGGATCTAAAGTCTAGTCAGCTGATGAGAACGCGAAAGATGATTTCTCTTTCTTGTCATCCAGACATGGCATGAGCAGTCCCACGGTCAGATAGAAGACTAGTTCTAGATATGATGAGCTGCTTGATTGACTTGGCATCAGTGGAGACAGCTCCGACTAAGTCCTGAGGACTCTGGAGACATAAGAGTTCAATCGAGAGCTGACTCCTGAACTCTAGGCCTTAAGCCAACCAAGAGTCAAACTTCCAAGTTGAACTACCGAGTAAATCCGCGTATACCGACCCAGTAATAAACCAATATTGTCTATCTTTGACTATTTTCGAGAATAGATAATTATCTTATCAGTTAATTACGCGAGTGGTTAATTCAGAAAGGAATTCTTCCCAATCCTTCACCAAGTTCCTTCCGAGTGAGGGCTTCCCCCGTGACCTCGCCGCACAGCTAGTCTAGGAGGAAGCGACACAAAGCTTAATACAAGCAGTACATTAAATAATAAATTAGTGTTCAATACTAAACATTAATCATATATTTGAAGCACTAGAGCGCTATCACTAATATATGTGTCTTTCTATTTATGTATTAGGAAGACTTCAGCTAATTCATGATTTTTTTCCTTCTTTGCAGATCCCTTGCGATCTAGCAAACCACAGTGTTATCGTATAAGAAACTTGGGAGAAACGTGTGTCCCACAATCGGGGTTAAATCATTTAACCCCTGCTCATCCCGATGGCAGTGAAAAGGTCAACCATGTCTACCGGATCATCTGTCCCTGCGCATCGCATTTGACCTGTGATTGGGAAACGGGAATCTGCGTTAAACATTAATCGTTTTCCAGATGAGAAGATATTAAATATAAATCTATTTATTTAAAATATATTTATTTATTATGCTATTTAATTGTTCATACAAATTCATCGAGAAAATCTTTCATCCATAAATAAAAAAAGCAAAACAATAGTTTCCCGAGTTTATCTTCTTTAAAATGTCTTTATCATTTTTGAAAAATATTTTTCAACACACTGTGCGGATAAAGTGACTTTCCCGCACACTGCGAAGTATATTATGTATATTATGCACCCCCCGGGAGAAAATACTTTTCGATCGTGGTGCATATGCTACTTTACGTCTCAAGAGATAGATCGGTTCGATCGCGTTTTTTACTCCCGCCGGGGCATGAAAATATTGTTCACAACTCGTGCAGAAAGTTGCTTTTGGCATGTGGGCTTTTACCACTCGCCTTCGGCACGCGCTATAAACCTCACACACGCCAAAAATCACTTTTCCGCACTTGTTACGAAATATACTATTATTTAATTCTCCACTCGACTTTTGTTGATCTAGCCCTGAGTAAACATAGGGCAAGACTGTCTATTTACCTCATATCACCTCGTTCATTCGTTCTTTTTAGTAGCTTGAGCGAAATGTATGAATCAGGAGCTTTTCAATTCGATTTTTTTCAATTATTTGTCCACAAACTTATGTTTTTGAATGTCAAAAAAAAGTGTAATGGATAAAATCATACATTGGTTATCTGCACGAGAAATTATATAAACATATAGACTTATAGACATCATATGTCGAATTTCAATTTTGAAAATGAAAAACTCCAAAACATATTTATTAAAAATTACGATATTGTTCCTGCGTAAAGCGTAGCTTTTGGTCTATTCGAAAATAAAAACTCATTTTCCGGAAAAAATATTGTTAAAGTACTTGAGCATCCTTAATTACAAAATACACTTTCTGCTTGTAAATATTTCTGATTGAAATTGAATCGGAATTTTGACTGACATTTTAATTCGAAAAATGATTGATGTATGTATCGATATCATTCCCCTCCGTGTTGTTAATCAATAAAATCGAGGAAGGAACGGTGAATTCAAATTAAAAAAAACTCAGACCTGATACTGATAAATAAATATTAAGGAGTTGTTTCCAATTAATCTTTGATATTACCCTAGTTTTATTTTAAAAAATCGGTTTGTTCTGTTATTATAAAATCAGAAGGACATCGGAAGAATGTGCATAAACGAATTTGTATTGATTTATATCTGCCCCAGTGACACTGACCTTTTATTCATAATGGAAAAGCTGTGTGATAATTTGTGATAAACATGCTGCTGTGAGAATAGAACAAACACGCAATAGTCAAGTGGTCTCAACCCTGAAATTAAAATATCATTTTACGTAATACCATAATTCAAGATATTGTCAGCATGACTCATCCCTGGATTATCCTATAAAACGAGGAGCAGTGGAGATTGGTGATCAGAAATCTCCAAGATTTTGCATCTGGAAGTGAAACTTCTTGGCAGGTATCCGAAACTCAACTGCATCTCAGCGAATATTTTCATTTTCATTTATCTTTATTGGAGAAATCACGTAAATCGTAATCCTCGTAAGTGTCAATTATGTAAGAGGGAAGACAATGTGATTCGTCTGTTGTTTTCAGTTATCATGATGACTTTGAGGAAAATCCTGCTTGTGTCTGCTCTTGTGGGATGCTGTTTGGCTTTACCTTCTGGTGATGAGACAACACCCACTCCCGTCAAGGAGTGTAAGGGGCAAGAAGACTGTCAGAGTCATGAGTGTTGTACTGCATGTGAGAATTTTACATTATTTATAACTCTTCCGTTTTTCCGCAAATTTTTTATTTTCACACGTGGGAAAATTCGAAAATCAACTTCGGCAGCATGAAATGGAAAACTAGTAAATTTCCTTATCGATTTCCCAAGTTTTGGCAAGGTATTTTTCTCAACTTCTAACCGACATGTCCACAGAATTAAGTCTATCGAAATATATGACAAGGTAGTAGGCATTTCTTCACACGCATAATAGAAAATTCAAATCAATAATTTTCCTGGATTTGGATAGAAAAATCTGTCAATTTTATTCTCGATTCTACTGGATACAATGGCTGAATGATAATTCGTGAATTTCGTTGGTCTTGAAAATGTCTGTGGAAATCCACGACCTTTCCAACATTACACTTTAAAATTTAACCAAATGTAATATTCATTTCTAATTATGAGCTTTAAAAATCCGAATGTTCTTGAAATATCGAGAATCATTCACTATGAAAAACTAATCCGGACTTTCTCTTTACCATGAATGGAAATATTTAAGAATGATTTAATGAATTGATTGAATTGATTCAGATGTGATTATTCATTATTTAAAAAAAAACAGTATATGTCGCAAGTGGTATTAGGCAATTATTGCCGATATATTCTCATTTTTCAAGTTATCACGAGTTGAATAATGATAAAATCTAAAAACGGTATATTTTCTCACATCAATCTGATCCCACAGCTTCACAGAAATTCGCAACAAACATGAAAAATGAGGGGATATCTAATCGGCAATAACTTTATGGATGTTTTGCCTCCTATTGGCCAAAATGATCAATTTTCTGAGGTTTCAGACAAATTGTTAATCGGATCCACCCAAAAAAATATACCGGTTTTGAATTTTGTAATTATTTTATACCTCATAGAGTTTCATGAGCATGCAATAATCTTCCTGCATTTTTTTTCTAAAGTTTTACGATTAACGTTTATTAAAAGCGCAGAGAAATTACTGCACGATTATGATATTCTCGGAGTCATAAAGTAATCATAAAATCCGAGTACGGTATATTTTTCCGGGTCAATGCAATCTAACGATTTGTAAGAAAACTAAAAAAACCGGTAATTTTGGCTAAAAGAGGCAGAACATCCTCAATTATTAACTTGGCATCAGAAAAACTGCACGGGTGATGAAAACGTACATCGTTGAGAATTTCAATGCAATTTTTACTGGGAAATCAAATAATTTATGACAGCATAAGTAATATTCCCTTGTTTGTAATTTTCCAGCGCCATACAGAAATACAGTAGCAACATGCCGACCCCGGACACCAGAAGGTCAATCATGTTCTCCAGACCAACAGCCGACAGAAACTGGTGGTTCTATTTACTTCGCTCATTGTCCATGTGAACCAAAACTCAACTGCGTCCGAGAGCAAGGCCTTTGTGTTCGAACATAGATTTTTAATTTTTTTTTATTAAGAAAAAACTCGAAAGTTAATTCAGTAATGAAATCGTAAAGTGCGACCATTAAAATCTAACATTCAATTAACGATTTATTTCTAAAACTATCAATTCCAGGTGAAAACATCAAAAGACGTTTTTTGAAGATGATTGAATTCCCGACGAAAAAGGTCATTTGCTATTTTCCTCTAGAATCAATAGGTTTAGCGATTAATCGATATTCAACGAAACCGTGAAATGGGCGTATCATCGAGGGATTATGTTGTCTATTGTTGTTTTATTATATATAAGAATAAATAATGGTAATTGTTGTAATAAAAAAAAGTTCAAAGCTACTTGAAGGTTGTTATGATCATAAGAGTGTCGACAATTTTTTAATAATTACTCTTCAATTAGTCTCATTTGGATGGATCCCATCATGGAATTTACGAGCTTGATAAGAATCACGCAATCATGCAGCGACTAATCCTGGGGAAAATGCACGGGAATTCCGAAATATATTGTCAATATTTTTACTTACTGATGATTCCATCTGTGCACATGTTCACCCCTCTTCTTCAAATACTCAGTTACTGCACAAGATGGGGGCGATCATTATAAAACCAGAAGTAGTACTTGTAGATCATCAGAAGTTTGTCGGATATTTCCTCATCGACATCGATCATCACTCAGAATTGCACAGCAGATTTTTTTACGTTCGTCCTGAAAACAATAAGTGAGTCTCACTAACATTGTACTATAAAAAATTTCCAAAAAAAATACGTCATAAGTCAAGTGGGAATGCGAAGGTCCTATTTGCATTGTTTTTTTATTTTTATAAAAATAATGCCGCAAAAGACGCGCATTTCGTTTTAATTCCTTTTATTGTGTTTGAAAAGAGATATCACCGAACGGATAATATTTATAATTTTTTATTTTATATTGGTGGAACGAATGCGTTGGGAACTCTAAATTTTAATTTTTATTGCTCCCGGAAAATTTATTATTTTGGAAGATTTTGTCGCGAGTTGTTTTATAATGTTTATGTCTGTCTTGTCTTGTCTTGATATAAATATAAGGGGAGATAGGGAAAAGTGACGTTTTCATTTTAAATCTCACGGAAAAAAAATTAATTTCAACAAAAATACTTCACAAGTCGGTGGTAGAAACGACTCATAACTTTTTTGATATTTTGAATTAAAAATACAACGATCATACATAACTGAAAACTGCAAATTGTAAAAGTCGGAGAGCCATACAGTGGGAAATAATAAATCATTCATTCATCCATTCAACAGATATATTATTGGAAAATCCTTCTTCAAAATTTCAAGGATAAAAATTTATCTCAATTTTAAAAACGGGAAGCAAGTAATTTTTTTCAATAGTCAAGGAGATTCCAATTTGTAGGTCATGGTGATAGAAATTAGATAATAATAAATAAATTAGATGGTACCAGATGGTATGACCTGAATAGGTCTTTTACCAGTCCTTCATACGCAGTACCTCAGCCTAATTCCCTACCCGCACTTTCCTCTAGCTAACTTATAATAATTAAACTCCACAGGCTATCAATTCCTTTTCCGAAGATAAAAAAGTTTTTCACGTTCGGGACTCGAACCTGCGCTATGACATTTTCATCACGATGTGCCGAAAAGTAACTTTTCAGTTCACTTTTCTAAAAAGTGACTTTTCCGCACATTGCGAAGAAATTAGTATATTCCGTAACAATTTCCCTGATTTCAATAACATAGCATTGAAACTATCATTTCAAGCTCTAATTAAAATTAATTAAAGCAAAATACCCCGAAACAGGCTCACAATTTAAATATTTCCCAAGCACAAATTTTCTCCAATGTATCCGATGTATCGATACAGCTGTATCATTGCTACTGTTTCCACCTTCCGACTCGCTCAACAAGACATTGAACCGAATTTTTTAAGACATCATTGAAGTATTTACACATGTTTCGTTCAGTTGTCGTAAAAAAACGGCATTTTCCGACTTTTCCGGCCATAATCGATGGACAAAACACAAAAAAATCGATAAAGTAAATTAAAAAAATTACAATGCTTCCATTCGGAAGCACAAATAATAAAAATAATTGAGCTGAATCGAGATTAAGCGATTTTACAATTTATCAGTTCCACTAAAGTGTAAAAAACTTGAAAGGAATATATTAGTTGAAAAAATAATAAACGAAACTGGGTCACCCCTTGCACTTAGATCGGCACATGGTTATCTCATAATTATATTTGGATAATCCGATATGGATTCAGCAATTTCGGTGTTTGCTTGCAGATGCGTGTGATCATGATTTTCAAGGCCATCCTGCTGTTCGTCGCAATCACTTGCTGTTGGGCTTCACCTGCGAACGAGACACCCAGACGTTTTGCAACATGCAGGGGTCCGAACGATTGCTCCAATAACGAATGCTGTGTTATGCGTACGAATCTCCGTATTTTTTTTGCTTTTCATTCAAAAAGAGAAATCTATTGTGGAGCCGTAAACTGAATTTTTTTCGAGGCCAATTTTAGCCGATATCTCGGAATTCAAGGGAGATAGCGAAATTTTTATAGATACCTTTTTTGTAGTTCTCCTCGTTATTTATGAAAAATGTTTATACAAAAAAATCGCTATGATGCTTCAATTCCGAGGTATAGGCGAAAAACTTGTTTCGACAAAAATGTAACTATCCTAGTTCACTGCTTCGGTACTGGAATCAGTATCGAAGCTCTCTCAGTCGATTTTAACTTTCGATTAATTTTCTGACTCATTTTCAATGACAACTACATTTCAGAGAAAAACAAGAGCTTTTTTCCAATCCTTTTGGCAGCCCTTTCTTCTCGGAATGATGTCTTACCGAAAATGTATTATCTCCCTTGGATTTCCAAATACTTCTCCAACAAGAATGTATTCTTATTCAATTCGATTCACAGCAAATGAAACGATAAACTTCCCCGCAAATAATAAGATGCAATGAATTTTGTATAGAAATAGTGCCATGAGATAATTGGCATCTTTCAGGTACTTCCGCAGTTATTTTGCTCTCAAAAAATTTCGCAGTATGTAAGGAACACCAAATTTGGATTATGTCAGATAGATAGATGCAGAAACTATTCTCAAATGTTCAAGAACTTTGAGCACGTCGTGTTTCATATCCATCTTTAAACATCGGAATTACATATTTCTTTCTCATGCAAAATTTGATATTGTATATTTCAAAAATGACGGGATAAAAGTTTTTGAAAGTTTAGTAATATTTCTTCATCGCACCGAACAATGGTTCAAATGTAGTGTCTCTCATATATTGCGAAATTGCGTACAAGTATGAGTAACTGTAGAAGTCTTCAAGGCCCGGATGGATTGTCTGGGAAAGATAATTTACTCCAAAATTGGGACTTCTAATTACTCCGTCAATTAATCGGTTTTTCCAATAATTAGCTGGCCAATAGTTAGCTAGCGGCCCAGTCGTTGACAACCGCTAGAACGCTAATAATCTTTTCTGAAAAAAAACGATTAATTACCAAAGTAATTAGGAATCCGAATTTCGGAGTAAATGATCTTTTCCAGATAATCCAACCGGTCCTTAAGGCTCGGGTGGATTATCTAGAAAAGATAATTTACTCCGAAATTCGGATTCCTAATTACTTTGGCAATTAATCGTTTTTTCAATAATTATTAGCTAGCGTTCTAGCAGTTATCAACAATTAGGCCGCTAGCTAACAATTATCGGAAAAAACGATTAATTGACGGAGTAATTAGAAGTCCCAATTTTGGAGTAAATTATCTTTTCCAGACAGTCCATCCGGGCCTTAATAGAATTCCAATGAAACTTGGAACTGGTTGAAGGGAGTAGTTGCATCTTGCAACGAGTTACGTTAAAATTTAAAAATATATAAAACATCGGGAGAATTTCTGGATTTTTTAATCTGATGCAGACGAAGGAAATTGTTCAATCTAGCGGTATTCTTGAGGCGCTATATTTTTTTCTTATCACCGAATAATTATTTCCTGCCCTTTCAGCTACCCAGCGATATACTTACCCGACATGTCAGCCCCTGCGATCGAGAGGTGACATTTGCAGACCGACAGCGAATATAGGAAGTTCCAACTTAACATTCCCGGATGGATCTGTCTTTGAATACAACAATGCCCACATGTTCCTATGTCCCTGTGCTGAAGGTCTCAAATGCAGTAGAAGTACATCCGGTGGCTATCCAACGTGCAGTAAAACATTAAATCCCGCTAATCCACAATAAAATTATTATTCGAATTTTATGCCATTAAAAATCATTTGAAAACAATTCTGTTCTTTCAAAAAATAAATCATTATTTATCTACGGATTTTTAACCTATCTTTCATGGAGTAACCATTTATTATTTATAAAATGGTTCTCAAGTACTTATTAAAATTAAACGTCACTTTATTTGCACTATCAGATTAGTAACGGAGTGGTATAAACTGAGATAAGTTATTATATTTGTTACAGAATCAAATTCTGTCGAGAAAAAATGTTATACTAAAAGTTTGGCTAGCTTCCTTGGATTCTGAGATATTCTTGGAAAACTGATCACTAGTTAAAAATTAGTTATCTCGTTTTACATTTTTCTGAGCTCAATACATTTTTTACCTGTGCAAATTGGAATTCTCCCGCCTACGCGCACGCCATCATCAGAGCTGTTGCTCACCAAAGAGGATTGACTAAAGTAGAGGCTCAGTTCTGGGGGTTGGAGTCACCCCAACGGCATCGTAGTACTGCACCCCAAGAGAGGGAGGGCGCCACACGCAATGGGGGTGTCATTACGTCAGCGGGCAATTGCTCCACTGAGTTCTGCCAATTTCAAATAAGGCCCTGAGGGCCCTGAGGCTACTGCCGATTTCCACAAAGGCTCAGGTGGAACCAGTTTGTACTCAGCACGGGGCTTGAGGCCTAAATAATTGATAACGTAAAAAATTAATGGATATTCATTCCTCATGTAATTAACAAATGTAAAAAAAAACAATTTTGATTGCTGTATGGTACCTACATGACCTCAAAGTTTCAAAAATAGAATAAACTATAGAAGGATTACCCAGTCTCCAAAAATCAGGCAATAACAATAAATAAATTGATTCCTCTTATTTTTTATTAAAAAATAACAGCGACTTACAGGTGATGCAGCAGTTGTCGCAAACGAACCGGCACTCGAGCTGACGGGATTAGA